GGCAGTTGTATGGGGGTGGGGTTTCATTTTGCTTCACCCATCCCTCCCTGGAACATCTCTCAACCCCATAGGGTTGGGTTCTAAAGGCAGTTCCTAGGACTGCAGGGGTTTGCTACTCCACCTACTGGACCATATCAGATATGGCCTTGCTCCTGCCATTAGGATCCTGTCCTGAAATCAGTAAAAAGGTCTGTGGTCAAGGTATTTGTCTGAGACTTTGAACAGAACCTAAAGTTTAAGGAGAAAAACCTGAAATAATAATATTGAATTATAGTTGTCTTTACATTCCTGGAAATGCAGGAAGTTCAAGACCAAATGATGAAGTCTTTACTTACATGGGCTATAATATACCCTTTGCATTCTGGGCAGGAATGGCAAGACAATTTTAATACACACTAAGCCTGAAAACAAATCTGAGCTGCTGCTGCTTTAATAGCGAGTATACTTGATTCAGAGTTGTCCCCCTTCTGACCTAAATCTATTTTCTAACAATACCTCCCACTGTTCCTCAGTACAGGCCTTCTGCTCCAATTACACCTGCCTCAGGGTTTCCTAACCCCTTCTGTGTGTTGTGCCTCTGAAGCTTACTTTATGCCATCTTCTTAGAGTGATACTCTCTCATTTGTGTTGCCGTTCCCTTGTTTCTGCCCATTCCGGCTTGCTCATTCATTAAAATCCAGCACAAGGGAAGCCTACAGGAAACTTTTTTCTGTCTTTTAGCCCATTGGAATCTCATTATTCTTTTGAAATTTTTACGGCTCCATTATTGCCTTACTTCCTCTTCTGTGTATGTACCTGCTGTTTGAGATGTCCTTTAATTTTATGAACACATCTCATCACCCTCAGTAGGCCATACCTTTAAGGCAGCCCGCTTATCACTCTTTGATGAAATAGTTGCTAAGCCATTACTTGTTGAGTCAATAGAATGGTAAATCTGGAAGCTAGGAATAGACTTTATTTTTTCTTAAAGAATTATTTAACTTTATTTGATGTTATTATTTCCCACTTTGATCAGAGAGAGACCAAGAAAGAGAGAGAGGGAAAGTGAGAAAGCAAGCCACCAGGTCCAGGTCTCATACCACAGTCGGCTATGTGGGAGTCCAGCATCTTTAACCACCATGCTACCTGCTGGCCCCAGGATAGACGTTATTTTTAAATTATTTTTTATTTTTAAAAATTTGCCAGTTGGCACGTGTGCTTGCCAGAGAGAAACAAAGAGACAGAGAGGGACAGAGAGAAAGCACTCCACAGTCGAACATGGTCATGCTGCTATTCCTTCTCCACTTCTCCATCCTGTCAGGATTTGTCACACACACAGGTAACTGACCTGGTTCTTCAAGCCACCCTGGGCTAGGATATGAACTCTGGTTGGCTATGTGTTACCTGGCTCCCTTAACCACCAGGATATGAAGCCAGCCCAGTTTGACATTTAAAAAAAAAATAAAAAACTTTAAAAGTTTATTTAATTAAATTAATTATTTTATATTATTTATTTAATTTTCTTTATTGTTATTAGTTTAATTTGACCAGAGAGAGAGGGTGTGTGTGAGAAAGCAAGCCACTAGCTCCTTGCTTTCTCACACCACAGTTGGCCATGTGGGAATCCAGCGCCTTAACCACCACTTGGCAGCCTCTATTTTACCTTATTTTTTAAAGGAAAAAAATGTTGTTTTCAGTAAGATGGATATCCAGGAAGTTATCACAACTGATCCATCCTGGTGGTTCGTTCATCCATGCTCAAATACTCGTTTAGCACCGGCAGTATGTGAAGTGCTATGCTAGGCACCCGAGATACAGAGATGGAGCGCTGTGCCGCATAGGCACTCACTGTTTAGGTGAGCAAGTCAGATATACCAAAAGGTAATTACGATTTAGAGCTGAAAAATGATTACAATGGGAGTGCTCTGGAGCATGAGAAACAAATGATTAACTCTGTGGGGAGTCTTAATGTTTTTGCCAAGCAGAAAAGGGATTGGAGCTGCCGAGATGAGACAACCAGGAGGGAACAGGCAATAATGTATGTAAACAATATGCATACAAGCACAAAAACGTATTTATGAAAAGTAAAAAGTTTAATGCAACCAGTTAGTATTTGAGAGCTCTAGAATTAGAGTGAGCACAGCATGCTAGTAGGTGAAATTAAGTAGTTTGAAGTCACGTTGTAAAAACTTGTGTACTCAGCTAAGGAGCATGGACTTTCCTTCTTTTTTTGCCTGCCATAGGGCATGTGCACTCACCACAGAGACAGAAGGAAAGGGAAAAGTCACCTTTTCAGGGGGTTGGCCACACTGCAGTCCCTTCTCTCCCACTCTCCTGTTGTGATTTTGGGCACATGTACAAATGCCTGACGTGTTTTTCAGGCCACCAGGTCCGGGACTCTAACTACAGAGTTGGCCGTGTGGGATCCAGTGCCTTGACCACCATACCACCTACTGGCCCTGGACATTCCCCTTTAAGCATGAGGAAATCATTGGTAGTTTTTAAGATATATGATTTCATTTGTGTAGAGTGATCATTCTGTGTAGACAGACTGGATTATGATGAAGTGGTAATTTTAAAGACTCGTAATAGTCCAGGAAGAATCAAGGACAAAGAAATAAGAGTTGGTAACTTTTCTGATCTCTGGGGCTGCCTTTAAAATGGTAATCGACTGGGAATGTGAAATGAAGATATCATTCTACAGGGGCCAAGAGTGGGACAGCAGTAGTAGAACTGGACTCAAACGGGAAAGGTCCCTCGTTTGTATCCTGAGACCTCCTTGAGCACGTTGGGCACACTCACACACCTGTGCCTGTGATTTGAGCTTAGCTGAGAAGTACTGGGATAGATTATGGCGTGAAGACCCTGTGGGGTGTGATCTCCCCTAGCCTCACTCAGCCCCAATCATGGCCACACATGTATAGAAATGCCTGGAACATGAACCTAGACCCTCCTGTGTGGATTCAGCAGTGCAGCATTACTTCTGTGTCACTGGCTGTCCCCTTGCCATTTTAAAGTTTAATGATTGATTGAGACAGGGACCCTTGACAGGGTCTTACCGTGCCATGATCCTCCCTCAGGCTTCTAGCCAGCTATTACAATGTTCAGACCATCCTGGGATCCGAACCCGGGTGCTGCCCCATATGGTCACAGTACCGTGCAGCGACACCACTACTGCGGTGGGGCCATTTGTTTGTTTTTTATAACATTTTATTGGAACATACACATATTAATTTATTTACATATTAACTATGGCTGACTTCACTTCTTGGTGGCAGAGTTGGGTAGTTTCAAAAGAAACAATGTGGCCCACAAACCTGAAACATTTACTGTCCAGATTTAAACTGAAAAATTTGTTAATCTCTGGTCCAAACTAGCAATTCTTGCTAGTAGCAAGGAGGGAAGACACTTGTCATAGTTTCTAAGGATAGTTTATTTTTGGATAAATTGTCTCACTAGTAAGTAATTGAACATTTTCTAAAACTATACCCTTATTAGCTGTTACGTTTCAGTGATTATGATCCAGAAGAAGGAAGTATGATTAATCAGTGTAAGTAGCTTTGGAAATGTGAATCTAAATTACCTACCTGGTTTTGGGGAGTATTCATGACAAACTATAGGAGGTCAAAATGTGGGCCTTGCTTACCTAGGGGCAGAATTATCTTGAACCAGCTGGATGGAGAGCTGTACAACACTATGTCACTTACCAAAAAATGAAAGAAAAAAACTCAGAGTAATGAAAGATTAGACTTAGGTTTAAGGCAACTAGGAGGCCAATTATAGCAGTAAACTGTGGCCCTTTAGGCCAAATAGGAAGAGAATGGCTCAGAGTTATTAAAGATGCACAGCTGGAGCTAAAGACTTGCCCCAGGTTATACACCATTGCATCGGGACACATCCCTCTGTACTCCCACGTCAGGAATGGTTTTCTAGAGGTTAATGCACTGGATAGCTGAAAGAGTGGTGGAAGGTTTTGTGAATTTTATCAGTAGGATTTTTCTGACTGTTGAACTACGGCTTCGCGATAGAAAGTGGTTTCCCCTCTTTGTTTCAATTTCTGTGTGTTCAGGACCTGCAGCAGAAAAGCCCTCAAAAACTAAACTGGGTGAGAAATGCCATGGAGGGGTGTGCGAGTGTGCACACACACACGTATCTTCAGTTTTAAAACCTGTCTTTCCTCCAGGTTACCCTACTTACAAAGAAAAAGTAAAGAAAAGGCCAGGAGGCCGCCCAGAAGTGATTTACAACTACGTCCAAAGACCTTTTATCCGAATGTCCTGGGAGAAGGAAGAAGGAAAGAGCCGGCATGTAGACTTCCAGTGTGTAAAGAGTAAATCTATCACCAACCTTGCAGCAGCTGCCGCAGACATTCCCCAGGACCAGCTGGTAGTCATGCACCCGACTCCACAAGTGGACGAGCTGGATATCCTTCCCATCCACCCCCCTTCTGGCAACAGTGACCTTGATCCTGATGCACAGAATCCAATGATGTGATGCTGCTGTTCTTTAAAACCATAGCATGCTACTCTTCACAGTGACGTTGTACTCTCCTCATTCTGCACTGCAAGGCCACTCTTCTTCATCGTGAGACGCACATAGCAGTGTTTAGTATTGCAGTGTAGGCTTTTTTAAAGACCAAAGGTAGCTGAATGGTTTTTAAATGAGTACAACTCTAGCATCCTGAGGTTCTGGTTATATAAATGTATTTGTTTACCAGTAGGTTTGTGAAATTGGTTCTTTGTATGGGGGACAGTCCTTTTTCAAACACCTAGGTCTTTTCAGAAGTGGTGGAACTTGGCAGCTGGGGTATTTTTCAGTCTAGATTGATACTCATCACACCCCAGATAAAATGCAAAACATTATTTAGTTGCACTTTATAAATGATGGTTAAATGGACTGTTCAAGCCATTTTATAGTTGTGATACGTAATATAACTTACATAAGTGCTTCTATCCAAGTATTCCTTCAGTAAAGTGTGTATAGTTTGCTGCCACGATGAGCAAAAAATGAGTATTTATCTCGGGCTTATCTGAATGAGTAGGATGAGAGGCAGTGCCCGTATCTTACCAGTTCACTTATCTCCAGTGCCATTTCACCCTTGCAGAGTGAGTCACATGCAGAGTGTGAACATCAGAGGTGGTTTATTATCCAGTCTGCCTTACCCTTAATCTTTTCACAGATATTTATTTACTAATGCTTTTTTTCTTAAGAGTTATGGGATAGGAAAATGAAGTGTTTGCTCTTCATTTACTAAATGATTGTAAACTCGAGTTTTTCATCCAAATAAAATTCCATTGTTTTAATGTTTCTGACCAACTTTATAATCCCCTGGACCAGATTTTTAGTCTCATAATTAGCAGATTTCCTGTCTTGTTCATGTAAGTATAACTAACAATCAAATGGTAGCTTAAGGAAATATAATTTGGTATATGTGTGATAAGGCACTTAAATTCCCTCCTAATTATAAAATGTACTACAAATTCAAGACACTATTAGAGCCAAAAAGAGAATTTTATAGGTCACCCTGGTATGCAGGGCAAAATGAGTTTACTAGGTCACATAGTACCCTGTGTTTCAGAGCCAGTTTGTGACACTAGGTCAGTGCTTTTACCATGCTGTTCTACTTAGCGAATTATTCATGCAGATTCTATTTCAAATATTCAGTGGCCCAATTCAAAAAGGAATCAACTTTAGGTGCTTTGGGTCTGGGGTCACTTCATGTTTGAAGCCAAGTACAAGAAGTAGTAGAAAGGGAGAGCAGTAAGGGAAGCATTTGTTACATCTAATCTTGAGGGTCTGAAATTGGTATGTAAGCAGTAACATCTTTGTTTTCACATACATTGAAATTGCAACCATACAGAAGTTATTTGTAACAAAGCTAAGCCAATAGCATGTGGAAATTATGCAAGTCACAGAGCTGTTACAAAGGACAGAAAGGCACTGCAAATGCTATTGGCATGGACTGTCTTTAAACACCACTGTAGAAATTGATCCAGTCTGTGGCATGTAGAATGTTTTTCTAATTATTTGGAATGAGAACAGTGTTTATAGAACAAGGGAAACATTTATTAAAAATATTTAACTGTCTAATACATTATACTTTAACCCATATTTATAGTAAAGGATTCTTACAAGGAAGAATAAACAGCTTTATGATACAATTAGTATAAGAAATATCCACATGGGGGACTTCTTTGTAGTGTAAAAACACCATACATCTGAAATGACCATTTGCATATAAAAGCTACCAATGATGCTTCTGTGCACAATGATTAAAAAATTCAACACAAACAGAATCCAAAATATACAATTAATGCAAGCTATCCACAGCTAGCCCAATAATCAATGATGAAGGAACACTGTAGCAGGCTTAGTTCCACTTTGTCTGAAGTTACACATAATAAGATTGACTTGTATCAATGGCTCTGAGATGGCTCTTATGAAATCAGTACATAAAAGCTGTTCTCTCCTTATCCAGTAAGCTTCACAGACTGTAAAACTCCACCAGTAATGCACTTTGATACTGTAGCTGTCGCCAAAGCAACATATAGTGTTTACAGCGGCCAAGGCAAGTCACTAAAGTCAACAGGGCCACCCAGCCCAGCATCTGCTTCCAGGAGGCTCATGATGACAGCCATCGCTGCTTCATCGTTACTGGGACTACTTGATCCTTGGTCATTGTCTATCATGTCTATGCCTATGTGGGGATTCTCACCTGTGGGAAGGGACAGAAACTGGTCAGTGATAAAAAAAATACCAAGCATGTCTAGATTCAATAAGCAATTCCTAAGCATATGTTTAATAAGAAAGTTATATTTAACAGTAGGGTGAGAGAAGCGGCTTTGGGGCTGCATTGCCGAAATATTTTCTTAGGATGCTGTTTTCAGAGGAAAGAATCAACTTTTTAGAAATAAGAACAAAGTGCTTAAAATTCAATACGTGCTACATTTGAGTTGACTTCATTTTAATATTACAAAAAAACCAGTTGAGGGTGTTACAGAAAGGCAAACAGGAGGAGAGAGATTAGGAAAAAGATCTAGGAAGACAAGCAGAGAAAAAGATGGGAAGGGAGAAGCAACATCTCTTAATGACTTTAAAATACCCTCCGAAAGGCTTACTGATGCCTCTGCTAGGCTTTCTCTCTGAACCTTCATCAGAGAGACTGCTCCACATGAGAGAAAACCCATGTCTAGGCTGCTCTGCTCTTGAGTTCTGGAGACAAACATGGATCCCACCAAAAGTCAACCATTGATGTTAACTTTGAAGTCAAGATGTTAAAAATTTTAAACCTTTGCTTTGTTCGCATCAAATTTATCTAGAACTAGCTTGGTTTTGTGCAGTTCAGTTCTTACACCTGACTCTCAATGTCAGAGGTTCTGCAAGCACATCACAATGGAGGTGATGAATAATGCCACTTACCAAGAATAGAAGAACTATCCGAATATGGATATCCTGGGTTCTCCTGAGCCTGCCCTGGTAGTAGGCCACTGGAAGGAATGTCTGGAGTCCCTCCATTTAAAATCTACAAACAAAAAAGGGGTACGGTATGAAGCTTTCCACTCTTAAATGAAATTTTCAGTCACTATCTTGTGCAGTGTCACCAAGAAAATGAAGGAAGCTGGAAAGAGGAAGATGAGGGGGTGGGGAGGATGTTTCAGATGCTTCAGTTTTCTACCAAGTGATTGCAAAGAACTGTTCGGAATGGTCATAGTAAGGAAAAGCCTTCCTCCACATCATCGTTTTCTCTTCATTTGATTCAGCCCACACAGGTGACTTACAGGTTGAGTAGTATCCCCAGAGTAACTTAACTGCTGAATAAAATCCCTAGGATCTTGCTGCCTGCATAGTCCCTTAAGTCCAAGGCCTAAACTTCAGTGATTCCAGTGGGGCGGTTCCCCCATAAGGGAGTAAAACAAAAACAGATGTTGCTGAGGAAGAAACAACTGGGGTTGTTACGCTGTGGAGAGAGACAGCTCTACAGTCACAAATGAACAACAAAATAACAGCAAGGCTGTCATCACCAAATACGCAGTGGGTGCCTACTTCAGTGACCTATGGTTTTCTCAAGATAGGCCACTAAGGAGAATTACGATTACTCCTTAATAGCCAAACTTCGAATTCTTGTGTCAAAATGCTTCTCACTCTTCTAAGCTCCCTTCCCCTGACTGGGGCTCCCTTGAAAAGTAACTGTTTAGAGGCAGACCCTTCAGTAGTGCTGATTTCAGGAAAAGTGGCAGTTCCCAGCCTTGCCAGTAGGTGGCATTACAACTTTATCTCCACAGTTCAACTTTTGGTCTCGGGTCCCCTTTATTTTCCCTCTCAAAAATGATTGAGGACTCCAAAGAACTTTTGTTTATGTAGGCTAAATTTATCAATGTCTATGGCAATATTTTTGAAATTAAAGCTAATAATTTTTAAAGCACCTATTACATGTTAACATGAATAATGAATAGCATTTTAATGAAATTTTTAAAAAAAGAATTAATTAATTTAAATTTGACCAGAGAAGGACAGAAAGAGGAAGTGAAAAAGCAAGCTGCCAGGTCTGGGAATTTAACCGCAGTTGGCCATATGGGAGTCCAGCGCCCTTAACCACCATACCACCTGCCGGCCCCATTGATGAAAATTGTTTTCTAAAACAACAAAAAACCAGTGAGACATGTCATCCTTTTACTTCTTTGTAATTCTGTCTGGCTTTATATATTTGAACTAGAGTCTCATTTGCTTCTCCATTCAGTATTTAGATATGCTATTTGAGTGAAGTATATGAAAGAAATACAACCCCCACAGGTATGTAGTTAGAAAAGGAAGGCAGATTTTAATCATCGTTTCAAATAACTGTGGCGTTACTCTTTAGTATTACATTAAAACTTGAAAATGGAAGGTTCTTAAAGATTCACTACATGGGCCAAGCAGGCTGGACTCCCATGTAGTTGACCACAGTTCGAGTCCCGGACCTGGTGGCTTAAACTCGTGCCAGGTGTGTGTGCGTGCATGCCCAAGATCCTGAGAGGAGAAGAGAGGAGAAGGGATGGCGGCGTGGCCATCCTCCCTGGGGGGCGATTTCTCACTTTCTATCTCTCTGTCTCTTTCTAGCAAGTACATGCACCCTTATAGCAAAAACCTCTCCCCAGAAAAAAGATTCACTGCATCAAGGAGTCGTGACACCATGTCAACGAATTTTTTGCACTCTGTCATGTTAAAATCCACTGGTGTATCTTAGCACTTGGGATGGGTCTTAGACCCCTGAGTGATTTTGAAATGTATTGGTCATTTAGAAAATACCAGTTCACTGAGTTATGCAGATCTTCCAAATGTTGACATGTCATTATATAACATCTAAACATTACCATTCATTCTTAAATGAAACTGGCTTTTATCTTTATTTATTTTTAGAAAGAATTTTTGCTACAGGGTGCATGTGCTTGCCAGAGAAAGAGACAGAAAGCGAGAAGTCACTCCCCAACGGAGATGTCCATGTTGCAATCCCTTCTCCATTTTCCTCTTGGGGCACTCATACACACATGCCTGGAGTGAGTTAAGCCGCTGGGTCTGCAACTTGAACCATAGTCGCTACATAGGAGTCCAGCAATATAACCATTATGCCATCTGCTGATCCCTTTATTCTTTTATTGTGAGTGTGTGGTGATGAATACAATAACTACTAATGTAGTTTGATGTCACTGCTCTGAATTTTGCAAAACCCAGCAGTGGTACCCCACATTGCTTTTGGTGTACATACCAACACAGTGGAGGAAAATGTTTTAGCATTATTATGAAAATAGCTTTTACAGGGACCAGCAGATGGCATAATGGCTATGTCGCTGGACTCCCATGTAGTCAACCACAGTTTGATTCCTGGACCCAGTGGCTTAAACTCATGCTGGGTACGTGTGCCTGCATGCCCAAGATCCTGAGAGGAAAATGGAGGAGAAAGCATTGCTGCATGGCCATCCCCACAGGGGGTGATTTCTCATTTTCTGTCTCTCTGTCTCTTGCTGGCGAACGCACGCACCCTATAGCAAAAACCTCAGAAAAAAAGAAATGGCTTTTACCTTGCAGACCCTTGAAGGAGTCTTGCCCTTCCGCTCCTCCAAGCCCACAGGTGACATTTATAGATGTACTGTTTTATCTGAACTTGTGTGTCCTCTGGGACCTATGGAGGCTCACTTCGCTTCCCTTTTTTAGCTTGATCCTGACTGACACAGCTACAAACTATATGGTTAATTTTTGGAGCTGCCAAATTTGGAAGTGACTGGGAAGGGCAACCTTAATTCTTGTGGGTCTGATGCACTGCTTAATGCTGCTGTCGTTTTAACTCCGCCTTGTGTAGGCTGCTTTCTTGTAAGTAGTGCTGGTGAGGACTTAGAGCAGATACACTCAAAACTTCTTTGCTAAGAACCCATTTTTATAAGCCCAAAGAAAGGGAAGGATTTTCATAATATATGCCTCAAAACTATCTGGGGCTTTATCGTGCAGAGCACAGCTTGGGTTTCTGGCAGTCGTCAATGTGAAAAGAATCAGAGGTCATAAGGACTGGATTGTCCTGTGGGGGCCACACTTAATTAGGAAGTGCTGGGAAGTCTGGATTTTGTCATCTGTGAAGTTGTGAGGTTAATATGAGAGAATGCATATGAATGTTCTCTAAGTAATATTTAAGCAAATATTGATATAGTAGAATCCTCTAATTCCAGGAAGTCAAGTGCCTAAAAGTTGGACTGAGAAGAGATGGGGAGACTACTCTGAGGAGACAGTGGATCCAGCGTGGAGGAAGGAACCAGGGTTCTACCAGGAGATCAGAGCTAGGAACAGCCGCAAGCAGAAGGTGGGGAAACCAAGTCCAGACTTGATCTATTTGGCGATATTTTCTGTTATTCTCAAGGGCCAGGCACTTGCACATATATCATCTCATAACAGGACTTCATATGCAAAGATGCTGGCTGTGCTGACCAGTATGCACCCCACTGTGGAGAAAAATAAGGCTTATTAAGTTATCTAAGTTTACGTAACTAGCACATGGCAAAGCCAGGCTTCAAACCTTGGCCAGTCTGCTTTGATTGTGCTCTTCCCCATTGACTTGTTGATCTTCAACATTTTTTGCGGGGAGAAAGACCCACTTTTGCAGAAGATACTTACAGAAAACAGAAGCTGCCTTGGTAGACGTTACGTCCTTGCCCTCTCTGCTTCCCACTTCCTCCCCATCTACCCTACGTGATAGCTCTATGGCTCTTGGTAACCTGAGCTTCTGAGGAGCTGAGTTGAAAAACCTCTGCCCTGCATTTGATGCAGTTTGTATCCTAAATCCTACCTATGTGAATTCCTAATATTCTGTGTGCATGTGTTCAGAGATGGGAGGAGAAGACTTCATATCCAAAGATGCTGATTCTTGGGATGTCCTAATCTGTAATGACATCAGGCATTATAATAGATCTATGATTTATAACTAACACGGGCCTAGGTTTGTGATTCTCTGGCAAAGATAAAAACAGGTGAGTGGTTCCTAAACCAACATATAATACCGTCCTCTAACCAGGTCTTCAGGAGGGCTGGCAATGTCAACAGCTATTTACACCTAAGGCTGTCCCATCAAAGGACACCCATGCAGGAGATTCCCAAGTACTTCACAGCTGTAAACCCCGGCTTGACTTCCAAAGCACTGTGGGTTGCTGTTTCAGTGTTGGCCCTCAACACTAATCATATGTTCTCCCTTGAAAACTCTTGGTGGAGGATGAAATGCTTTTCTGTGAGGCACTCACCAACCCTTCCCTCACGGGAACTGCTGAATTGCTCCACCAGTGAAATGGCTGACAGCTCACCATTCCTTAGAATAATCTTCACCTTCCCCACTCCCATCTTCAGGACGTCAGCAAGCCTTCCTACTCCACCAGTATGCTTTGCACCCAGCCTCCCACAGGTGCCTTACTTCAAGAGGAAGCGAGTCCAACTTGCTTCAGCAACCGCAATCCTAATTCTTTACTCTCACCCCCAGCATTTCAGAACTTGGGCAAGAGGTTCTCTAGCCTCAAAGTCATCAGCCTCACCTTCTTGCCTCCCGGGGAAGAGACATCAGGGGGAGGCGTACTTGTGATGTTCAATGGGCTGGAGCCACAGCTGGAAGGCGATGACCCTCTTATCCTGTCAGAGAAGAAAAGAGTTAGTTACATTGCCTTTTCTTTTTTCACTGAGGCTGTGTGTTTTGTTAAGGGGTGAGGGTGAGAAGGAGGATGCAGATGTAGATTAGGGATTGGCAAGTTTTTCTCTGAAAGGGCCAGACAGTGAACTAAGTTCTCTAGGCCATGGTCTCTGTTACAACTGCCCTACTTGGCCAGGGTAGCTCAAAGCAGCCATAGACAATCCGTAAATGACATGACTGGGCTTAGTGGTGTTCCAATAAAACTTTATTTACAAAAACAGGTGACAAGCTGGATTTGTTCTTCAGGCACCTGATCTAGAATGCAGACCCAGGAGTTGAGCATCTCACTGACAAAGCCCTTGGATTAGGGGCTGGATTCAGGTTGGTGAATTTCAAGTAAGTGGCCAGTTTTATTTCCTCACAGAGTCACAGAATGAGTCTGGGGAGACCTTAGAAGTTCAACCTCCATCTTTGATACCCTGAACTGGAACCCACAGGAAATGAGGAATCCTCTTGCCTACAAACAGGATTAGCTAGTGATTACCTTTAGGCAATAGAAAGTACCAATGTAGATCTGCCACACCCCCCCCCCCCCCCCCCCCCAAAAAAAAGCCCAGCAGTAGTAGCAGAGACAGCAGTAGCAGTAACAGCAGGCTTCTAAGGCAGAGGGTGTTGAAAATGTTCAGGCCTTTTTCAGCTAGCACCTCCCTCTGCCTGGTAGGCTTACAGAAGGAAAGACTTAGAGCTGTAAACGCACATAACCTTGTCAGGCTGACAGACCTCAGGAAAGGAAGCCATGGCTTGCCACTGGCGCGAGAGTTTAGGGAGAATCTGGTGGCTGTGACTGCTGTGTGACTATCAGGGGCCACTGCTCCACTGTCTCGCAGTCTGCTCTCGATTTGTGAGTGACCCAGTGCTGTCTTTCGCCTGCGTTATAAGCTCCTCAGAGGCAGCACACACCTCTGTATCCTGTGTGCTTAGCATACCTAGAGGCTACTAGTTGCTTACTGAAGAATTCCCCACTGTCTCCCGCTGTCGCTGCTTATGTCTGTAAAACCATCATTCTGGCCCAGCTATGGGAGGCTGGGGTTTGGTTCCTGGACCAACCTGAACAGGCAGGGTGAGGGAGTGTGCTCCTGGTCCTGACTGAGAGGCTGAGGCAGGAGCATCGTGACATGGCAAGTCCCTGTCAGAAATATCTGTCTCTTGGGATCAGCAGATGGGGTAATGGTTACATTGTTGGATTCCCACATAGTCAACTGCGGTTCGAATCCTGGACCCAGTGGCTTAAAATTCACATGTGCGTGCCCAAGATCCTGAGAGGAGAATGGAAGAGAAGGGATTGTAGCGTGGCCATCCCCCCTGGGGGGTGAGTTCTCACTTTCTGTCTCTATATTTCAATGTCTCTCTGGCAAGCACATGCACCCTATAGCAAAAATCTCTTTAAAAAAAAAATCTGTCTCTTCCTTACTCAAAGCAAAACAAAAAAAGCTCACTATTTTCCCAGGTTCCTCATCTAAGAAATACCTTTTCATTATTTCTTATTCCATCTGCAACATCTAAATAATTGATTTCTTTTTTGACAGCATCACACTGTCACAGACTTCATGCCTGGGTTCTCAAACATGCTTGCTTTCATCTCTTCCTTCAGTCAAACATCACAAAGCTTAGCCCTTTGGACACCTGCTTAGAACAAGGTCTTAGAGTTTTCTTCCCAGTCCAACTGCTCAGCATCTTCTAGGATTCATAACCTCCCATCATAGCTCTCTGACTCTTTCCTACACGAAGACTGCCCAGGTCAGTGACCTGCTTCTTGACTCTGGATGCCACTCACGTGCCCACTCGAGACTGGGGCTTTTCCGGGGAAACACCCACCCTCAGGTAAACCCTTCCGAAGTGCAAGTTCAAATGCTGCTCCCGTTAGCCCAAGCACTCTCTTTTTCCTATTTTCATTAGAAAGGGAAAACAAAATTCTCAAAGATTTTAAGGATCTTCAAGTCCAGGACTCTGATAAGATTCTTGCATGGTCTCAAGCCAAGCCCAGGGAATACAGTGGCTGGTCAGCACCTGATTGTACTGTACACCGCCCCAACCCCTCCCTAAACAGAGGCAAGCCACCACCCGTGCCCAGGCTGAGAGGCTGGAGCAGAACTGTGCTACCTACGAGGATGACAGCCCCTTATGGCCAACTGGAAAAGAGGCCAGCCTCTAAGGCTCCTGCGAGAGAATTTTTCCTTTTGTTGTGATTATGTTCCAGTAAGTTTGCATTCCTTAGTATCTGGTTATTACCTTCTCTATTCCCCAAATATATGGATTTATAACCACTAACCTCTCAGTGGCTGCTTTTAAAGACATTGATTTAATTGGTATTTTTGAGCATTCCCTGTGTTCCAGGAACTTTTCTGAGTTCTGTCACAATCCTAACTCAATCCTTGGGAGGTAGTGCCTCCTTCTTATAATAGTGTTAGTCAATAGAGACCAAGAGATTAAAGCACAGCCAGGGAGAGGCAGACCTAGGACTAAAACCCTTCCAAGCCTCTCCAGGAAAGCTGCCCCTCACTAGCAGGTCTTCTCTGTCTATGACTAACCCTAGGCCACTTTTTGATTGGAGGAAGTGGGTAAGGCCACCCAGCACATTCTTTGGCAGCTTGAGGCCCTGCTGCAGTCCTGTAATGTTACTCTACACCCGTCTTCACTGGGAAGCTTCTTGAGCCATGCACAACGCATTAAGGAAAGTGAGCTTCCCCAGGAGTTCCCGTTAGCTCTGGTCTGTTTTTGTTTAGCTTCTTTATTTAGGGCAGGATTTCTCAATCTTGGCACTGTTGCCATTTGGGGCTAGTTAATTCCTTGTTGGGGGTCAGGGTAGAGAGACTGTTGTGTGGACTGTTGTATTGCTGTGTGACTATTACGATGTTTAGCAAGCAGCATCCCCGGTGTCTATTCACTGGATGTTCAGCCATCCCCGGTGTCTATTCACTGGATGTCCAGCAGGAACCTCCCACCCAGTTGTGGCAACCAAAATGTCTCCAGGCATTGCAAAATATTTCCTGGGGGCCAAAACTGTCGTGGGCTGAGCAGCACTGATTTAAGAGACAGCGAGAAGGGGTGTCACTTGCCTGTGGATTTCCATGATTTCCTCGGCAATCATCCGGCCTATTTTTCCTGCCCCAGCCCTGGTTCCCCCTGGAATCCCTGGAACGGTGGGATGAGTCCTCTTTGGGCCACCTACAACAAAGGAATCTGAAAGTAGGAAAGGGGAAAACCAAGGTAGAAATGCTACTAAGTGTTAGATTTAAAGCCAGTAGCTCCATGATCCACGTGAAGTCAACGTCAGGGTTGTGCCTTGCAGGTCATTAGAGCCACGGCTCGTCAGGAAAGGCATTCCAGCAGGGAAAGACTCAGAGGCCAGATGTTGACATGGAGCAGCTAATTCCCTTTATGTACTCAAAAAAGGGTGACTGGATACCACTATGTTGTAACCAGTTACAGAGAGGAGTCAGGATTCCTGCCCACAGGAGCTCAGTCTCATGGGGAGACAGGCAAGATGACAGGTGTCATAAGTATGACAGGTAAGCACGAGGCACCCTCATCCAGGGGAGGGGAAGCTTGTTTGGAAGAGGTTAACTCTGAGCGGAGTCTGACAGATGCGTGTAAATGAGCGTGGCAGAGAGGCTAGGAAAGCGTTCCAGGCACTGCAGCCGGCACGTGCAATAGCACTGAGACAGGCCAGGCCTTGGGAGACGGCTCCAAGGACGGCGTCATAAATGACAGGGGTGTGACGAGTGAGCCTGAAGCAGCAGGCCCAATCAGATCAGATCCTAATGAATTTGGACAGTGTCCACAAGGGACTGAGGTACCAGAGGAATGTACGCAGAGAAGGCTGTGAGTGCAATCTGGGTTGTTAGCCTGCTGCATGGACAGTGAGCTATAGTGGAGGATGGTGCAGAACGAGACCAGAGTTAGGGAGTTGTCTACTCTGATCCAGGAGGAGGAAGGTGAAGTAGTGACAGTGCTAACGGAGACGCATAAGAGAGACAGAAAGGACAGGAGCCAACCCATGGCCTAGTGGTTAAGGCAGCTGGATCCCACACAGCTGACAGCATGGTTTGAGTCCTGGACCTGACAGCTTGAGAAACGGCAGTTGTGTGTATATGTGTGCCCAAAATCCCGAGAGAAGGGAAGGACAGAGGAGAAGGGATTCCAGTGTGACCATTCCCCATGGGCTGTGCTTTCTCCTCTCCCTGCCTGTCTGTCTCTCTGGCAAGTGCACACGCTTGCTAATAAAAACAGTAAAGAAAAGGGACAGATGCCATGTTTAGATATCATGGGGGAGCGACCGGAGTCAAGGATTCTGGTTAAACAACCAGATGGAGGAGTGCAAAAATCAGTTCGGGATATTCTCAATTTCAGGTGCCTCTTGGGACTCCAGGTAGCTCCGTCTAGGAGGCAAGTGGAGAGACAGATCTGGAGCTCAGGAGAGGGACCGGCACTGGGGATGTGGATGTGGGAGTCACTGGTGGACAGGTGGGGGTGGAGGTAGTCTCAGGAAGGCTGAGTCCATGGAAGTGGGAGCCGAGGTCATGCCAGGGAGGGGACACACGCCCAGCATTGACAGACACCGTCCAACCACAGGAGCCAGTGACAGTAACCACATATCACAGCCACCGTGGAGCACAGGAGGAGGAGGGCATGAGGGGAGCAAGGAGTTCGTGACTTTAAGGGCTGTCAGGGTCCCAGCAGCCTCACGAAGGGCACAATGCATTCCCCATATTCCAGGCTCAACAGAGAAAGTGATAACATCCTTAATTCACAGGGAGAGCAGCACGGCATGCCCTGAGGCCTCCCTTGTGCCACACAACAGGATGGCAGGGGACCCTGCATACTTGGGGAGAGGGCATCTGGCCACAAGCGGCTCCTCACAGGCAAGCCCTGAGGCCTCGGCAGTACATAGTTACCTTCTCCAGAGGGCAGTATGCTGTCCATGCTGTGGGGGGACGCTGTGAGCTGCGGGAAGGTTGGGTCCCCGCCTTCCAGGACGTTGGCTCTGTGAACATCCCAGCAATAAGGAAACATGAGTCAGGCCCGCTCAGAACTGTGCACCTTTCACCTTGGCCAAGGTGTCCGGTGTCCACTCTGGACCTGGACAGGCCAGAAAATGAAGTGTCTGTCTGAGTGGCTGAGCACATCTCCCTGCTGTTTGATAACATGATGGACAGCATCTCAGCCTTGGCCTCACTACTGCCTGGGTCTTCCCAAGCTGTGGGGGACATGGTCCAGCAGAGGTGGTGGCTGCAGCAGCCATGGCCACTCCATGGCGCCTCCTCTCCTGCACACGTGCAGCATGTCCAGCCCCTCACTCAACTAACCAGAGGTGGGGGCTTGAACATCATGGGGAAGGAAGCAGGTTTGGGGAGCAGACCTGGCCAAAGAGGAAGCTCCTTCCCTCTCCACACTCACCTGGCAGGTGGGAGCCTTTGAGGTGGCATTCCAGCTGCCAGAGCTCGGCCACTAGCCTGGTAGGCGTGGGGACCTACCTACTCTCAGCCAAGGGCAGTATGAGCTCACGTCTGTGAGCCTCTCCTGGACTGTCAACCCCTCCCTCCACAGCAGCACAAGTGGATGCCCAGCTTGAGGGCCTGCAGACTTCAAAAACTGCCTGTTCTATCTGCAAAGAAATGTCACTGTTTTCTAGAGCAGTTCCACAAGCTGGGGCCTGCACAGGGTGAGTACTGAAGCTTGTCTTTTGTTAACAACCCTGTCACTAGAATCTGGCAACCCCAAGGCTTCATAAAAGATTATCAAGGTGGCACTAAAGGAGGCTACTGCTTGCACCAGCTTCCGCAAGTAAGGAGCCCTCGGCACCAGCTTCCGCAAGTAAGGAGCCCTCGGCACCAGCTTCCGCCAGTAAGGAGCCCTCGGCACCAGCTTCTGCAAGTAAGGAGCCCTCGGCATCTCCCTTTGAAGCAAGGGAGCTTCTGATACAGCAAAGACACTTACAAAACAACAGTGTTGGTAGAGACGATGTATTCTACTTCCTTGGTCCAGGGGTTCATGAAACTGAACCATCGACTCCGTAGTGTGATGAAGGAACCGTCTTTGATTTTAAACTTATAGCAATTAGTTGTAATCTTTTCTCTGGTCTGTAAAACTGAAAATGCAAAGAAACGCATTAACACTGTTGTTTCCTCAGACCAATCTATGAAACATTCGTGTGTTGAACCCGATACCAGGTACCACAAGGATCCCGTCCCCCACACATCACTCTTTCATAGTCCAGGGGTGCACAGTTGAGAGAGCAGGTTGTGTCCTGGGGTCTAACGCAGAGCCTTTCAATGTGTGTATCTCATAATTTTCCAGAGGCTATGAAAGGAAGGCCCCGGGGACAAGTGACTGTCCTACACATCTAACCAGGCTCAGCACTGAGGTGAACACCAGCGGTGAGAAGGCACTTTGCATTCCCAGCACAGAGCCGGGAGTGCGGCACTTCATCTCCTCTTTATGCCATCGGAACCAGCAGGAGCCATTCACCTCTTCCCGCCTCAGTCCTTCATTACAACCATAACAGGTCATTTTCACGTGCCAGGCAAGAACTAGAAGAGGAGACAGGCTACGACTCCTACCCTCAAGGAGAGGAGTGAAGGCCACAGCGAGATCAGAGCCTTCCAGGAAGGACACCAATGGCCAATAGGAGGGAGGGAAGAACCCAGCGTGGCTGAGGAGTGAGGGGCCTGGTGGGTCAGGGGCCAGTAGGATGGTCGGTGCAGCCGGGCACAGGTCTCGGCAGACAGGGACAGGGAGTGAGACTCGAGAGTGGTTTGGGGCCAGCAGGTGGAAGGGGTTGAATCACTGCAAAGGCATTTGTATTTTAGTCCAAAGGCGGGAGGTTTTTAAGCAGGGATGTACATGGCAAGGCTCAAACCGAGAATAAATGGGGAAAGGAAGGAAGGCAGACAGGAGAGAGAGAGCAGGCAGGCCCGTTAGGAGGCCACCACAGGGCTCCAGGTGGACACAAGGGTTGAACCAGAGTGGTGGGAAGGGACTCTGAGGACGTACATGTCTGAGGTGAATGAACAGGAGCAGGTGGAGACACGGTGAAGGAAGGGGCCAGTGCTGGGTTCTCTCCCAGGAGGCTGTGCATGTGAAGAAGGGATGTTCAGAAGGCAGTGCAGGCTGGCAAGGAGAAGAGAATCAGAACGGCCTGGGCCATACTCAGTCTCTAGACAGACAGAAGATGCTTCTAGAAACAGCCACGGCCTATGTATAGAAAATCGCTATGCAGTCAGGGGCAAGGATAAACACCATCTGGGGATACCAGTCTCCCCTCCTACGGATGTCTGACCGGAAGTGTCCTAGGCTGGCTGACTCCCACATGACTGGGGCCACTTCCTCTAGAAGGTCATGTGTCCGAGTCTGGAAGCAGGGGCCACTCGCAACTCAAGACCTTACGTACACAGCTTACCTTGCCTGTGACATTCTGCGAGATGTCCTATGTCGTCTTGGTGAAAATACTCGTAACATGACGTGCCTAGCAGTTCTTGTGGTAAATATGCTAAAATAGCTGTTGCCCTAAAAGACAGTGAAGGAGTTTTCAGAGGTAAGAAAGCAGGGCAGATGGTTACTGGCATCTTTGCAGTAAGTGAACCCTCCTACAGCCTTTGAGAACAAGGTCAAAGCGGAGGCGTGAAACCTGGGTGGGTTTGCAGAGAGCTTTACTACATGGACCTTGGTGTCTTTATTCTAGGCTTCTGAATTTAATCAAGGCTATAAAAATAGAGCAAAACGGAGCAAAGCAGCCTAACCAATGTCGAGAACAAAAACATCACATTTTAAGCCCTTTTAGAATGATAACTTTAATAACTGGATTAAAATGTGGGAGAAATCTAAATCCCACTGCAAAGCATCTCCTTTTTGCTGTCTGCTTTTTATCAAGATACCCAAACACCAGAAACTCATGAGCTGGGGCACTAAGGACTTTGAAAAGTGATTAATCTACTTTTCCAACATCTTGTGGTTGCCTCCAGTAGCCAGAAAAACGATTAGCCTGTGAGTATTCTTAAAGGAGGCAGCACACAGAAATAAATTTGGGGCATCTGGTTCTTAGCCAAGGTCTACTACTGATTAATTGAGTCCTGCAGGAAGCTAGTCACCAATTCTTTGTCCATGAAGTGAGAAGACCAGTGTTGCTCAGTAGAACTTTCTGAAGCAATGGGAATGGCCTACATGCCATTAGACAAACATAAGTCTTTAAACTTTTAAAAATTTCATTTGTTTTTAATTGTCAGAGGGCATGTGCACTCACCAGAGAAAGACAGAGAGCAAAGAGAACGCATACTCCCATGGGTAAGGCCTTCCCACAATCCTCTCTCCCCCATTTCTCCGTCTCATCAGGATGTGGGCACACACACATATACCTGATGTGTTTTTCAAGCCACCTGGGCTGGGATTCAAACTGTGGTCAGCCATGTGAATCCAGCTCTATTAGCCACTAGGCTAATGGGACCAAACCCACGTGTATCTTTTAAGTACTTAAAACATGTTTGGTGAGACTGAAGAACTGAATTTTTTATGTCAATATATTAAATTTCAATAGCTATATGAGGTTACCATGGATAGTGACGACTACACCTGACAGCCCAGTTCTACATCGTTTTGTCCAGAATTCCAGTCACAGTGAGGGTCCTGAAGCAGTCCATAGACTCAGGCAGCTTGCTGTCCCCACTATTTCTCTTTTCAGAACAAGTCACCACTTACCTGTCTCTAGCTAAATGCCAAGGAAGACACTATGAAGCTGTCATAATGAGGTTCGTTTTTCAGACAACCTGCATTGCTTGCCCTGCTCTCTTTATTATAAAAGCCAGCTGATGGCCTACTTGTCTCTGCTTTTCAGATCAGGGTCGACTACCCTCTGTTACCGCTGGTCAAGGGTAATATGCAGACTCTTACCTCTGGTCTACAAAAACAAACTTCCCATCTATTGCGTGCCGAGACACGTACTCCATAGATTTCACCCTGATCTCCCCATTCACTGGCTGTGGAACCACGTGAGAATGCAGTCGTCCAATTGCAACAAGGCAGCTGAGGTTACACCCCTCGTTGTCCGGTTCGTTGTCTTCATCCAGCCCCATCTTTGTGGGCGGCCAGCTCTTTAAATAGCCTGTGCTGTGGATTGTGCAGAAGCTTTTTCGATCTGCTAGAAAGCAAAGTCTGTGGTTAGTGCCAGTGCCGGGTTTGGGTCAGTTAGGCCTAGGCAGCCGGTGGTGGCATGGGACGTAAGAGTTAAAAAATAAGAACAAGGCCTTACTCTCCAGAGGTGAGCTTCTAGTAGAAGGGGCAGACGAGAAAAGACAAATGCCATCCAGTGTCACGTGTGCTTTGAAAAGCCACTTATGTGCCAAGGAAGGAATGTCTAACTATCTGGGGAGAGGAAGGCTTCCCAGAAAACCCAGCGTAGGAGGTAGATCGCGAAGGCTGCAGCGGGGGCGGGTGGTGGTGCCTGCCGTGCTGTGTTGCTGACCCACGTGGAAGGCACAGAGGTGTAGGGTGGCAGGGTGGGGGAGTCAGGGTTTGCAAGCGGAGATTTCCCTGAGGATGCAGTGCACACACATGCCCTAATCCAGGGCTGGTTGAAGCTGGGGGTGGATTGTGGCATCAGGCCTCTGGTGGGGCTGTCGTCTGTCTCTATCTGTCCCATTCATGAAATAGATACATACATTTTGATAGAAAAAAAAGGAGGAGAAGAATGAGCAATGGCCAAGGGGCTGGAATGTGTACAGGTTGGGAATGTGCATGGGCACAGGGGCATGTCCTACGGAGACACGAAGAGCTCTGTGTGTTTGAAGCAAAAGATAGCTGCTGGGGGCAGAAGATAAGGGCCTTGGATTATTTGCTTACAAACATGTCAGTCTTTTTTTTTTTTGATAGGAAACGGAGAGTTTCCAAAGGTAGGTAAGTGGTAGAAACAGCAAAATCCAATTGTGCTGTGGATGCTCCAAGAGCAGAGTGAGGAGTGAGCTGGAAGAGTAGAAACCAGACCGAGGAAAGTTCTGAGGCAGTGGCAATAATTTTGCAAGTGAGGGCAAGGACCGAATTATGGTGGTGCGGCCACAATGAGAGGCAGGGGAAGGGCACAGGAGACATTTCTGAGGCAGAACTCTTGGGGTAAATATCAGGCTTAAGGGAAAGAAAAATTCTGATAATCCCACCTTGCCTGGACTGGATGGTGGCTGCTGTCATTCACTAGCTTAGGGAAGAGAAAATACAAAGAGGGAGATTTCAATCTGGGACACAGTAAGTGTGGAGCACCTGTGGACTTGAACGACAGTTATGGAGTCATTTGGCAAGCACAGGGTCTGCTGCTGGAAGACACAGCAGGCATGCCCTCACGGAGTGAACAGTCTAGTGGAGGAGATGGACTTTAAACACAGTCACACAAATAACTGTGACTCAACTGTAAGAAAACACCAGAAAGGAACCTGCAGGGCGCTACCAGAAGACACAGGCAGCCCGAGGCGGGAGTAAGCCTGGTGTGGGGAATGAGTGGGCAGGGGAAGAATTTCCAGTGACTGCTGTGCACAGCCCTTGGTGAGAAAGGCCTACGGCATCAAACGGAAGTGTGTGGGTCAGGTGAACTGGGTACAGACTTGGAGTGAGGGGGCTGCATGGCCAGGATGAGTATTGCCTACTTTTCTTCAAGAGCAAAGGGACACCTTGAAAGGTTCTAAACAGGGGACTGACTAAATGATTTGCTTTTTTTGAAAGACAGAGAGACAGAAGGAAAGTGAGGACAATCCCCCTGGAGGTGTGTATGGGGAGGAGAGATGGCCATACCGCAATCCCTACTCCTCTATTCTCTTCCTGGGACATGTGCCTGGAATGATTTTCTTCTTATTATTTTTTCTTTTTTAAGAGAAAGTTTTGCTATAGAGTGTGTGTGTGCTCACCTGGGAGACAGAGACAGAAAGCAAGAAATCACCCGCCTAGGGGGGATGGCCACGCCACAATCCCTTCTCCTTCATTCTCCTCTCGGGATCTTGGGCACACACAGGCATGAGTTTCAAGCCACTGGGTCTGGGACTCGAACCACAGTCGACTACATGGGAGTCCAGCCATATAACCATTATGCCATCTGCTGGCTCCACCCAGAGTGATTTTTCAAGCTGCCAAGTCCAGGACTTAAACCATGGTCAGCCATGTGGGAGTCCATAGCCTTCACCACCACACCACCCACTGGCCCCTAAATGATTTGCTTGAAAAGCTTGTTCTGGCCATGGTATGGGGGTGGAAAGCATGCTGCAGGGCCTGCTAGACCAGGCTGGTGCAGCAGCTGAGGGGGCCTGGGGCTGAGTGAGTGTGGACGTGTGGAGATAGAGAAACGCATCTCAGGTCACGTCTGCAGATGGGATTCACTGTGGCAGGACTTAGCAGCAGTCAGATGGAGGGATGAGATGGGGTGAGGCTGCTCCCAGGCTTCTAGCATGAGCAGTTGGCTGGACGGTAGCACCTTTACACTGAAGGAGAGGCTCGGGTGATACTTTGACATGTGACACATTTGAGATGCCCTTGAGATATCCAAGCAGGTAGATTTAGTAGGCAGTTAATTTCTGAATATGGAGTTCAAAAGAAAGTCTGGGCAGGAAATTCACATTGGAATTTATTGGCACATAAATGGCATTTAAGCTAACCCACAGACTGAGTGTAGACAGAAGAGAAACCCTGAGATAGAGAAGGAGCCAGAAGGAGGGACCAGGAAGAAAGCCTGGTGTGGCAGATGATGGGGGAGATTAGAAGAATATCATTTCATGGAATCCTAGGGAAGAAAATACTTCAAGAAGGAAGGAAAATGGAGCATGTCTATTGCATTTAGCAACATGCAAGTCACTGGTGATCTCAGCGAGAGTAATTTTGGTGGACTGGTGGGTGGTCAGGAGGCAAGCAGGGGACTGTGGCTGGGGCTATTCTTTTCCAACCACAGTAAAACAAAAAGACTAAACAGAGGAGAGGCCTCTTCACAGATCTCTTTCACATCCGGGCTTCCTGGCTCTCTCCACCCTCCTAAACTGTCTACACTGCAGGGGATCGCTGCAGTCCTGAGACCTGGTGCCTTGGCAGCCGAGTGTCACAGACCTAATGCCCTACAGAAAGCAAGCCTCACCTGCCATGGGCTTTTTTCTTAGTTTGCTAGAGGACACATGCATTTACCAGAGAGAGACAGAAAAAGGGAAAGTGAGAAAGCACCCCTATGAGGGGTGGGTATGCCACAGTCCCTTCTCCATTTCTCCTGTCGGGATCTTGGGTATGCTGCACACACACCCAGCGTGTGTCACAAGCCACCAGGTCTGGGTCTCAAACTGTGCACTCAGCCATGTAGGATCTAGCCACCTTAACCACCATGACACCAGCTAGCTCTGCCACAGGATTTTAAAGAACTGTTAAACTGTTACCTTTTTTCTTTGAGCAGGTGGAGGGGAAGTCCTTGTCTTCAACCTTTACCGAAGGCCTGTTACACTTCATCCTACAGAAGAAAGAACGCCGTGCTCCAGAACATAATCGAGATGGCCCAGGGGTTATATCTGTTTTAACTGGAAGTCCAGCTGCAAATTAATACACAAAATGTGATAAACTGAGAGTAGTGCTGTTTGTCAGGAGGGGGAGTGTGACCTTGAGCAAAACCTTTTCTTTCCTGCCTCACTGTTTCATAACCATGACATGAGAAACATTTTTCCCTGTTTTGTTTTGTTTTTTAAACTTTTGTAATTGCTAGAAGGCATGTGTGGTCACCAAGACAAAGGAGGAGAAAGCATGCCCTAGTGGTGTGTGGTTATGTTGCAATCCCTTCTCCATTTCTCCATCCTGTTGAGATTGGGGCACACTCGCCTACACACACACACCACGTGTGCTTCCCAAGCTGCCAGTGCTGGGATTCAGCCATGTGGGATCCGACTTCCTTAACCACTAAGCTCGGGGACTGGCCCTCTCCACAGCTTAGGTCTCAAAAGATGCCATACGGACAGTACGCCGTCGGTCTGGAAGTATTTATAGGTCAGTGGAATGTGCCACTGGACAGGTGTGTTAGGTGCTGCTGGGGGTGAAAGGGAATACAGCAGGTGTGCCTGCCTGTCAGAGCTTATGGCTGTGAAAGGGGCCTGGAAGTGCCCTGAGAAGAGATGAGAGCAACACGGGGTGACGTGGGCATTGGTGCCAAACGAGTGGCAAGGACAGCCTGTGCTTCCCACAGGAGGAAGTGAGCTGACACTGGAGAGGTGGGCGAGACTGGTATACTCGGGTGCAAGACAGGAAGTAGGGCAGCCTGGAGTTCTGCAGCTGGCTGGAGGACAGGACTCCCGGGGTGCCTCGTTAACACAGATTCTAGATCGTACCATCCAACGCCAGAGCCACAGCTGTGTGCAGCCACTGAGCACCTGAAAGGTGACTTTTTAGAACTGACGTGTGCTGTGAGTGTGAAATACAAGATGTCAAAGACTTAGTCCATACAGAAAAGAGAATGCCAAAATAGTTTTAAATAGTTTCAACATTTTAAAATAGTTTTAAATGTTGAAATAAGGTTTTGGATTTGCTGGGTCAGATAAAGTATATTGTTAAAATTAATTTTATATCTCTTTTTACTTTTCTTAGTGTGGCTACCATGGCTCAAGTCTGTGGTGTTTGAGTTGTGCTACCGTGGGACTGAGCTGGTCCAGACCAAACCAGTTCCAGTCTTAGGAGGTGCTTCGACCATGTGGAATGACTCCCTGGGTGAGTCCATGCACACGCCCCCTTACCAAATGGTGGCTACAAGCCCATGCAGAGCAGGCAGCTACAAGTCACACTGGAGGAGAGTACCCAGGCCGGCCATGGCGAGAGCCATCTGCTGAGGAGTGGCTGCACACAGGATGCTCTGCGTCTCCTCCCCTCCAACCTGCCTCTCACAGGTCACCTCTGCGATCTACCCAGGAACTAATCTGGGCCTGCCCTTCTTGGCTCCGAGTCCCTGTTCCCTCATAGACCAAAAGGTCTAGCTATCACCCTCCTTGCATGCTCTGCTTCAACAGCACCAAGCAGGCCCATGGTCACACCCCTGCACCTGTCCACAATCATTTCCTCTGCTCTCCCCTCCTTTTGTCACCTGGTAAACATTAATTCATCTTTTCAAACCCACCTCGGTTGTCACCTACTCGGTGATGTCTGTCCTCACGCCCACATGAGAATTAATCATCCTGCTCACTCTCTGCGCCCGGCACTATTTCCATGGCTGCACCTGTTGTTGTGCAGGGTGCAGTCTGTCTCCCTGTCTGCATGGCAGGAGCCTCAAAGGCAAGGACCACACACCATTCACAGTTTCTCCTTGGGCCACTAAAATGTTCCCAGCCAGACTCAAAAGGGCAACAGGTACCAGGGAATGCATTTTACTTTTAGATGAAGAGTCTTACTGAAAAAAGATGTTTTGAAAGAGATTACCCGCCAGGGACTAACAGAGAGAGCCTTGAAGCAGGAAACTATTGGGTCGTCAGGAAACTCAGGACACATTTTTGCATAGAAAAACACGTCATGACTTTCCTGATAACCTAACAGGCCATGAGGGCACTGGGCCAAGGTGCATACAGCACCAATACTGTACTTCCCATGTGCCATGTATATTAACATATTGAGTCCTCACAAAACCCCATACAAGATGAGGAAATGGAGACACAGAGAGGTTAAGTCACTTGCTCAAGGTCACACAGCTAGTGAGTGTGGAGGCAGGATGTGTATTTCAGCGCCTAGGACTCTGCCTTGGGTAGGACACAGCGCCTAGGACTCTGCCTTGGGTGTGGGAAGCGCCTAGGACTCTGCCTTGGGTAGGACACAGGAGTAATGGAGAAGAGAGCAGTGGGCCTCACAGCGGAGGCCCAGGAGTGGGTGTGGGAGCGGGAGCTGAGGGCCAACGTGAACAGCAGTTTTGTTGCTGCAAGGCGGAAGCCAGGAGAGGAAGCCAACATGAGGAACCATTTGGGTCAAAAAAACATGTTTATATTTGAAGTTTCTTATTTTTATATTATGAGGCTACATGTGTGCAACTCAGATAAACAGGGGTGATTCGCTCTAGGAGAACAAGCCCCACTCAGCCCTTTGAACTCAGAAGCATGGGAATTTCTACAATCTGGGGAAAAAAATGACTAAAAAGCAGAAAAAAAAATCAAGTGAAAGAAGCTCTGCCTTGCTTCTGATAAATTTGGATACGGAAATTTTTCTTCTTTATGTACAACTAAACAACCTACCAGAATAAATATAATTCCATCTAGCCAAGGTAGGGCCTGTAACTCAGAAACGGGGCAGAGCAGTGGGAACAGAGAGCACATTGCCCGCAGTCTGCTCTCTCGCCCATCACTCTGGGCACTGCCTGTGAGCTGGCTGAGCTGCGGGGGGGATCCCGAGCCTTCTCCTGTACTCACTTTTTGCATCTATAAGCCGTTCCCGGGGTGCAGTGTCGGAGGAAGAGAGTTGCTCCTTGACTTTGGCGATATCTTTAGGATGCAGGTAGTCAAACAAACTCTGACCAATCAGATCATTCTGTGGGGAGGAAATGTTGAAGAGGACGAATCAAATACACGTGGAATATAAACCGCACAACAAGTGTTCACGGTCTGTATGTCTTGGCCTTGGTTTTGTATTTCTAAGGATGAGCATCTCGGACATTTCATATGTAAACCTGTGCATGTATTCAAATTCAAATACTTTACTTATAATATAGACCCCATTAAAGAGGCATCAGGAGGTCTGCTCTGATCACGTGAGGGGAAAGAAGGTTCAACTATACAAGCAGTCCATGCGAAGCAAGACTCCTTCAGCTGTACGTGGTCTCTCTTGTTTATTTCTGATACCGACAGATTCCCTCACGAGATCTCAAGGACTATAGGGACTGGGTTCTGACTGCAGCTTTGCCTAAGCAAGTCATGTCATATCGCATGCTTCAGCCACCTCATCTGTTGACAGAGATCATAAAAACTCCCTGCAAAACTCTGCTCTGAGACTGAAATGAAGAAAGCACTTTGGAAAAATTAAATTGATGTTAATTCTAGTGTGTAAAAATATCATTTTGATTCTTCAATTCTGCCTACCAAGCCTCCATGCAATCCCAGTGTGTGAATGAGGAAACAAATGAATAAATCAAAACTATGGAGATATAACAGAAGAAGAGTTTGGTTCTTACTTGATTTTATAAACAATAATTAAAGGTATAGGTTATCATAATAAATTTTTAGAAGAAACTGAGGTTCAATAGCCCTAATACAAGGGGACTTCAAAATGTTCATGGGAAAATGGAATGAAAGTATTAGTTTATTTTGGTGCAAAAAATGTTTAAATCTGTGCATTTCTTCACAATATTCATTTCCGTGAACTTTCTGAAGTCCCTCAAAAGTGGCACGTCATTGCAAACATGGTATGGGGGGGTTCCTAAGTTTCTTACTCTCTGCCTGCCTTTCTTCCTCATCAGCCTCTTCCCCTCTACCTCCTGCTCTTCCCCCCCCCCCCCGGATGTTTATTTGGCAGCCATAAGAAGGCTGTAACATAAAGCTGTTGATCAGATCAGGGTCAGTCCTTCCAGGGGAGAAATAGGGAACATATTAAGAGATTTTTCTGTTTGAATTCATTTCTCCATTAAAAAAGTAATAGAGAAATTTTTCTGGAAGAAGGATTTCACATGTGACTTGCACACTATAATTACTCTAAAAAATGGGCGAAAATTTCTGACGGCTGTGCGGCTGCCCACCACAGATAGGAGTATGAATTGTACCTGGCTGTAGTTGAGGATCTTGAAGACAGACTCTGAGACAAAGAGTATCTTCCCTCGGTCACATCCTACGACAAACAAAAATCCATCTGCTGCCTAATCAGGAGAAATGGATAATCAATGTATCACGCTGCAGGAAACACGATTTGTAATCACTCTGCTAGCAAATCAAGGATGTGCTTTCTAAGTATCCAAATCACAGGAACGCTCACGGACAGCCTCACTAGTATCTGGAGAATAGGATGCTTAAATACTTTAGGAAAATAACATTCTCTCCAAGGCAGGCGTGTGTATGTGTGTGCATGTGTGTGTGTGTGTGTGTGTGTGTGTGCGTGTTACATATACACATACATCACTTAACAATTATGGAGAAAAACCCAATGAAAGCAAATTCTATTTCAAAGCAGAACTCAGCTTAACAATTTTTTTTTAATTGTATAATGAAGTCTTGAAAACAGAGAAATCATGTTTCATTGCCCTCATGGTAACAACTCAGCTCTACGGAGAATCACAGAGTTGGAGACTGTCAGGACTCTCAAGCCCCTTCTCCGCTATCTCGCCACCATCTGCCCTCCACATGAACCCCTCCACTTCTCCACTTGCAGCAGCTCTATAGAATAACCGCTCTCAACTTTTGAGGTGGTGTTTCTATTTGCATTTTTATGCTGTTGGCCTGGTATGGAGCTGGGTCACTGGGGGTGCTCTAAACCACTCTCCACATTCGCCCCGCTGTGAGTCTAATGTGCCCAGCACTGAAAGCTGGGGCTCTCAAGTGTTCCCTCAGTCTGAGGCTCAGCTATTGGTATTCTAAGTGAGACAAGGAAACCAAAGCAAAATTGTCCCTTAGGTTCTTCTTACCCCTTCTTCAGTTTAAATACAGGGAAAAATCTAACGTGCTAATAGAGACAGGCAGAGAGACAGGGCATTTGGTGGGTGGACAGACTGGCTCGGGTAAATACCGGAGCTGTGGTGTCCGAGGCTCTTTGGTCTACGGGTGCATGAATCCCACCCACAACTTTGCAGATGGTCACTCAGCTCCCTGCTCTGTGCACAGTGCTCTCAGGACTTAGCTGCCCTGGTTCTCATGCGCAGTGGGTCCATTTCTTTCTTTACTCACTAGTCCTCAGTCTGCTCTCTGAGGAGATCTAGAGAAATGAAGTTCTCTTTTCTGCAAAAGAGCCTTTGGGATGTAGTTTAATTCAGAGAACTAGGAAATGAATTCCTGTGCCAGAAATGAAAGGATGGTACATGCACTTGTGCTGGGGTAGAGACGAGCGGCAGGGGACGGAACCACTGTTTCTGTGGGGACCTGGCAGGCTACCCAGCCAGAAGGAAGCTGGGAGGGTCCTTTTCTAAGTTAGGTCCCTAAGCTGGCCCAGGGGCCAGGGATGACAGTGAGGGGGAAGTAGCTTTCCAAGCACCATCTGCTGGAAGCCTCATTCTGTCAAAAAATGGGGTATTAATAACTTCATTTGCCTTGCAGACAGTCATACCTCACAAGAGCAGCATCTGAGCCTTTCATTGATGTGGTGTGGCACGGAAGGTGCTGGGAAGAAGGTGACGGTGACACCCTGGAGGGAATGCTGGGTCGGGGAGGGCTGGGCCTGAACCAACAACGCAAACAACGTGGATTCAACACACCCCGGAGAACACGAGTAGGTCCCAAAGGCCAATGAATGTAGTCCATGGTGGGGTAGAGGGGGGCAAGCCTTCCAAGCCACTGCAGCTGGCAAATAAACCACCAGAGGAAGAAGCTGAGCCTGAGTGGACAACGGCAGAGCGGAGGCCATGAGAGCCCTGGGTGCCCCACCAGGACACCCAGGGCAGCTTTGCTCTTGCAGAAACGGTGACGGTTAACAAACGGCACCGAAGGCCTGCATGGTCTGCCTAGTTTTCGAAACGTGGGGAAGTAGAACAGCTAGACGCTGTAAACGGGTCAGAGGAACTGGCCCCGATACACAGTTTATTAGAGATATTTGGGGATCCAAAGATGGTGTAGTGGTTTTGTCGCTGGACTCCTACATGGCCAACCATTGTTGGAGTCCTGGGCTCGACGGCTTGAAACTCATGTCGGGCGCAGGTGTGTGCATGCCAAAATGCTGAGAGGAGAATGGAGAAGGGATTGTGGTGTGGCTTGCTTTCTGACTCTGTCTCTCTGGCAAGCCCACACATCCTATAGCAAAAATCTCTCTTAAAAAAATAAAATAAAATTACTAGTATGATAACAGGACCAGCTAGTAGTTTTGGGGGCCCAGTACAAGATGAAAAGGCAGGGCCCTCTGATCAAAACAGAAGATTCTGAGGATACCGACAGCTGCGTGTTGAACCAAGCACGGAGACCTCTGTGTCTGCATGGGCTGCATGCCCGTGCCGCTAACCTGAAGCAGCTCCAGAGATGCTGCAGGCAGAATTTATATTTCAGCTTCAGCGAGTCCCCTCTGAGGGGTGGGTGTCTGAATAACTGTTCAAAGGAACACCGCTCAGTTACCGAGAGGCCCGGGCCCCACCTTAAGATGAGCTAGATAGTTCCTGGAACAGTGTGGCGCCTCCCTAAATATTCAGAACTACGTACTGAATGTGTGGATAAAGGAGAACGAAAGGTAGAGAGGCATGCCTAGCGGAGCTGTAAGTCACACACGATCCAAAGGGCTACTGATGACAAGGACCTTGGAATCATCTAACACATTTGACAGAGAAGAGAAGTCCAACCTTAAGTTCAAAACTACAAACTGTACTTAAAGCAAACACAAAAAAACCCTGACCTAACAATATTCATGTATGAAAGAACCGGAGGGCAGCACCAGACAGCCTCTGTGGCACCACCAGGATGGTTTGTTTCCATGGTGAGGGAGAAACCAGCCCACCTGGCCCAGGCAGAGCACACTGCAGCGGAAGCACCATGGAAGGTCATGGGAGGTAGACGCAGCAGGTGGACGGGGCTCTGAACACAGGATTCCCAGCTCCGTTCCAACCCCCTTCCCTCTGCCTTGTCTCCACTATGGAGACTGGAAACCCTGAATCCTTGTTTGTAAATCCTGCTCTGCAGCTAAAGGTGACCAGGGACACAGCTCTGGATAAGCTAAAGTTCACCTCTGGGCTTCCACAAAGGCGTATCCTGCCCTGATCAAAAGGCCAGCCAGCCTGTAGCCTCCCCTACCCACTTCTTCCAGTGGTCTGGCTATGTGGGCCTGGCACACCCATCTAGCTACACCAAGGGAACAAGAGAGTGTGCTAGCCTCGCACAACTGTGAGAAGGCACAAAGGCCTGGTTCTTGCTGATCTCAGTGAACCCCCACAGCCACCCCACACAACCCACGCTGGGCCAGTTATACCAAAGGAAAAAAAAAAATATCCTATCTATCATCAGGTTTTCTGTTCACTGCAGCTGAAGATTTTCCAGTTTGATGCAGCATGTCAGGAAGAGATGGAGGGAGAACACGGGAACGAACTGATGGGCAGACTCACAGCCTGACACCAGGACATCTTAAAGATGGGTATTAACAAGGAAGACATCCCGGGGAGTCAGCTCCTCTCCAAGGACACTGCCAACTTCTACTCAAGGACAAGTGCATTCTACAGAAGGCCTGCCAGAGAAGGCCAGCCTGGCTGTGTGGGAGGCAGGGCAGGGACAGTTCCTTTCATAAGGTTTTTCTGCTTACACTTTGCAAGAGAACATGTTTCTTTCTCTCTCTCCCTTCCTTTCTTCTTTCTTTCTTTTAATTTTACCAGAGGGTGCATGTGTTCATCAGAGACAGACAGAGGAGAGGAGAGAGCACTCCCTAAGGAGGGGCAGTTGTTCTGCAAACCTTCCTCCTCCATTTCTCTGACTTGTCAGGGCTTGGGGCACCCCCGCACATGCGCCTGGTGTGCTTTTCAAACTGCTGCGGCTGGGATTCAAACCACACAATTAGCCATGTGGGATCTAGCCCCCTCAACCACCAGCACGTGGAGCCAGCCCAAGAGGACGTGATTCTGAATCCAGTTTTTCTCTTCATTTTCCAAGCCAATCTCACTCTGCCTAGTAGCACACCTTAAAATCCTGTGCAGAGTCTTTATAAAGTCTTCCTGCAGAAATGTGATTCTTAATACCGTCTTATTCATAACAAAACCCTGCCTCTTCTGGTTTAAAACCATGTAGCAGAGACCTTCCGTTTTTGCCTAAGCAAGATTGGTAGAGGAGGAGAAAGGGTCTGTGGAAGGAATACAAATCTTGTGTAAACAGTGACTAGAGGTGGAGAGCCGAGAGGAAATGGGCCTAAAGAAGTCCAGTGTTGAGACTGAGACGTCAAATTCCCACATGTTGCTACTTACTCTAAGATTTATTTTTTTTTAAGTGTGTTAAAAAAAAAATCCGTAATTGCAACATACCCTGAGAATGAGGTGTTTCAGTTCATCATCCGACAGAAAAGTTGGTTTGTAGTTCGCTTCCGTGTATGGATTGGTGGCACCTTAGGGGGAAAATGAGAGGGTTGATACACTTCACACTCTGATAAGGTCTTGTTCGAATTCACTGCCTTTAACCTTCTGGATGTGGCCTGGTCCCTGCTATCTAGAATTTCACTTTCCTCTGCTTTTCCCTTAACTGAGACAGGGCTAGATCTGGCTTTGGGTAGAATCCTGAACCAAAGAGAATTCAACAGAAAAGAGAACACTGTTGCCCACAGGAGACTGAGCACACTGACTTTTTCTCATTAAAGGGAAAAACTGAAGAGATAATAGAAGCAAGTTAAAACTCTGCTTTTAAGAGAGAAGAAAGCTCTAGAAGCAACCTGTTAGCGCCCCTGGGAAGGTTCCTGCCTCCTGAGATTTATATGAAATGGGTTCTAGCAGTCTCTCCAATTACCACTCGAAAGGTTCTTGGGAATCCATCCAGTCTGCCAGGCCCTGAGTAAATGCCCTGGAGAAGGCATTCAGTCCAAGTTCCTCTTCATCAGGGGGTCAGTTAACCTAGCCCCGCAACCCGGAGAAATGCATTCCATCGGTACATGCAGCTCTAGCGTTCAGGGCTGAAAGCGGACAAGACTTCTGTTTAAAAGGCTGTCAATCTGGCATTTTCCAGCAGAACAAAAGCTTAACAGAGAAAATGCCGGCAGTCAATGACTTGGAGTCTGCAGGAGAGTGAGCAGAACCATGAAGAATCAAATAAAAAGTCGATGGTGATTCCAGGTGCCGAGAGGAGGAGACAAACGGGCACGTGTTGTGGATCCACAGCCCTGGCTTCTTATTACAGCTTGAGATTTGCCACCCCCCGCCTCGAGTTAATGGAAGTTCATGTACAACAATTTAGCTCACATCATTTCATTCATATGAATTTTTAATGCCATTCTCCAAGCCCAGGATTGACATGTGTATATCTGAATAATCATCGCAGGTCAGACAAAACCAGCTACTTCTCATTTCTGGTGACTTTGTGCCAACAGAAAGATGCCATTCTTTCACCACACAGGTTAGAGATCTGACGGAGCACCCACTTTCCAGTTGCCTCCCAAAACCCCAGGCGAGCTATGGAAAATTCCAGGAACCACATTCACTAAAAGGCCTGATATATTTCAGATTTCTCCTGTGGTTTGGATAAGTCACTTCCCCTTTTCTGCCTCTGTGTTCTCACCCTTCCCACCCTCAGAAAAGAAGGAAAACACTGCCTCCCTCACAAAGAGTTGATCTGGCTCAGGAAAATTCCAGGAAGATGAAAATATCACCAGTGCTCATTCCTGACGATAAAACGCAGCAAGAACCATCACCCAGTGACTCACTCCTCAAAGACACCATGCTGGATTTTTCTCTGAAAAACCCAAACTGACTTTTCCGTGGCACTGTGTGCACCTCCATTTCTGATTTTTATCACTGTCAGGGCAGGGTCCAGGTGCGCGCATATGCGAGATGGAGCACTGAAGGTGTCCTCTCGGACCTGCATGTGGCCCGGTGGCGTGCTCACACAGAGACGTGCAAGGCACACAGCTTTTAGGCTCTGGAGATGTATGTCTGCAAAACTGCAGCTCAATACCCAGACCAGCCCATGACCACTTCTCCAGGCATCATGTCTGTGCTGAGGAGTGCGGGCTTGTGACTCCAGGCTGCATATTTGCAAGTAATTCACATTTGTTTGGGGACTTGGGAACATTCTAGGCAGTGTGAGGACATTTGCAGACAAAGATGTAAGGACAAAAGAGCTCAGGGTCTCACCTCTTAACGTTTTCATGTGCTGAACGGCCATCCTTAGCACAGTGAGTTTATCTAATTTCCTGGACATCGCGTTACATGTTGGCACCAAAGAAGCCAATTCATCAATAAAACTGTTCATCTTATCCCGACGCCTCTTTTCAATCTGACTGTGAGCTTCCCTGAACAACAATATGAAAAATGATTTCCTATAAGATGTAACCAACCATCAGTGATGACAGAAAACAAACAGAGTTGTAACTGCAGTATTCATCTGACAAGGCAAATTCAGAGCTGACAGAATGTTTCAAATCAGACCTTTCTATGAAAGTCACCCAAAAATATGGTATTATTGCCGGGTCGGCATTAGTTTTCTTTCTTTCTTTCTTTTTTTTTTTTTTTTTTTTTTTAGTGTTTGCCTTATCGTTAGAATTGAGAAAAGAAATTAAAAATGTGTTTTTCAGAAAAAATGACTTTCCACTTCTTTCCCTCTCAGCCCCTGTAGAATAGGATTTTGAGATGGACGTGGAAGAATAAAGGGAGAGGTGGAGGTTTCATAGAGCAAAGCCACCAAGAGAGCCACGGAGGGCTGTGGTCCATGCTGGGCCTCCAGAGGGCCATGAGGACACCTCCACGTGGCCAAGGAGGATGTCACTCTTTTCTACCCAGGGGTTCACTGATGGAGGCATCCTGAAACTATGGCTGCCATCCTTGGTCCATCCAGGACCCCACCTCAACATAGCAGATGCTGCATCTGCCCCCAGGAGCCTCCTCTGAAAAATGTCACACTCTTCCTTCCCAGGAGTGGCTGCCTGTAGAGGCAGGATGACACTTCCCTGGCACACTCTATGGCTGACTGGTTTGCACCTACTGCTGCGACTGTCCTCTATCACCCAAGAGTGGAAACATTGCCATGGAGCCTTGGGACCTCCTGCAAAGGTCAGTCTGCAAAGGGGAAGCGAGCATCTCAAGCCAGCCAGTTTCTTCAGTCCCTGGTTCTGTGTCATGACACAGCCTCACATGGTCCTGGTAGTAATGGCAGGAGAGTCCAAAACCCAAGAGTTGGCAAGTGTGGCTAGAGACAGGAGGGACCGACCTAGAGAAGCTATTCTAAGGAGCACAGTGAGCCTCACGCCTGGCCTTCGACTGCAATTTGCATTGTGATAAAGGTCCCTTTCAGAAGCAAGGCACAGCCCAGACATGAGAGCATAGAGCCATGTCTCCTCTGGAGGGCCCAAGAGTCAGGAAGGAGTAATCTGAAGACGAGGAGGATAACTTTAGCTGTGATTGATTTTCTGCTACTTCCAAAGTCCTCTTTAGGTTAAATGTGCTTAGACAGCAAAGACTGAAGGCCAGTGTAGCCTGGACAGAGCTGCGGAGGGCCACATTAAGCCCAGGCCCACTAGGCCCTCCCCATTCCCTGAGGTTGGGACAGCGTCTGACAGGACATTAACCAGACAGCAACCAAACACTCAGCTGCCCTCTAATTAGAGCAACCGGAAATAGGACCGTCTAGAGACAGAAGGAGGGGCCAAGCTTACCTTGCATTTTTGATCCTTCCTTGGTGCTCCGTATATTCTAACCTGGAGAAGAAAACGCAAATGATAAAAACATACTACATGTCTGTTTTCTTCCTGCCTGGTCCCTGTCCCTTTTCCACAGACACATACGGGCTCTTGATTATCAGTCACACGGGGGAGCTGGGGGTTGGAGGGAGACAGTTGTGCCCATGGGCTCACAGCCTCCTTGCTTATTTCCAATGGGAACAAGTAAAAGAATGCATAACTGTGCAAGGGAAATGGCTAGGATGGTGCTGGAGTTCAAATGACAGGTGCATGGTACCTTCCGTGAGGGTCATCTCTGTCTGTGTCCATGTTTTCTCTGAAAAACAAGAGAGAACGTGACTGCGTGTCAATAAAGAGACACCGAACAGCTTCTCATTACCACACAGAGGGTCTCATTTATCCAGAACCAGCTGGGAAGCTCAAACAGGCAGAGTATGGATTAATGATGTATTATAGTAAAATAAAATAAATAAGGTTTACTTGAGCCTTCTATAAAACCTGGACTGACTTTCCAGATATCCAAGAAAAGTTTTCTATATGTATCTATAGGTATATATATTCTCAACGGAGTTCACAGGTAAACGTATTTTACCATATTTTGACTGACAATTGGGACATCTAGGATTCGTGAAGACACTCAGTTAACCAGAGTACAGGGATCTATAACACGCCTTTCAACCATTATTCTGGATAAATGAGCTTACGTCATTTGCAAACTACGCCAGGCATCTGAGCTACAGATGTGTGTATCTCTCTGGTGGGAAGGAGGGCGAAGTAATAAGGGCAGGGCTAAAGCACCAACAAGAATGTACCAAGCAGAGCCCCGGGCAGCTTTTCAGGGCTCTGCTACCAACTGTTCTGTTCCTCAGCTAGGTGCAAACTCCTGAGCCTGCAGAATTGGGTTGGAGGGCTGTTGTGGAGCTGAGGACCACAGAGGATCCTGGGGTCACACAGGGATCTGCCTCTCACAGACCCCAGAAATTCAAATTTCTTGTGGTTCCATAGAAAGCAGTTTGAGATCCCCAGGGGGAAGAGTTACGAACCCCTCGGGGTCAGTCCGCACCCCTCTCCAGCCCACACATCGGTCAGGAGGGCACTGACTCATCCGGGGTGCTCTCCTCTGTCCTTTCTGTACCCTTCAGACAGTGTGGTCTCAATGGCTGAGCAGTTGTTTCCGGGAGCACTGGGTTATGGCACGGCCATTCCAGAACAGGGGTCCTCAACTAGGGGCCTCGGTTTCCTCACAGGCAGAGTTTTTCTAGACAGTCCTAAATTCAGAGGAAATCAGAGGCTTCATGGGACAACAGATCCCTTCTCCTTGTCTCGAATTACATCTGCACAGTGAGGCCACAGTGATCTTCCCGGTGAAGAGACGCTCCCCTGGCAGGTACATGTGGCTTCAGTACGTTAAGGTCATGGGGAAGGGATGTGGGTTGGTTTCACCAACCCCATCTCCACAAGTTACAGGAGATTTGCACATGGGAGTCCATGAGGGAAACTTGAAGGGTCTTGAAGGACAGTGACAAGAATGGAAACCACAGATTTAGACAGCGGAGTTCTCAGAACACGGCAGTGGCTCCATCAGCGCTGGCCCGAGACAAAGGCTCACAGAAAACACCACCTTGTCTCTCTGGTGGGGAGTTATGCTACGGAAGGACACCCTGGCAGTCCTCACACCCCTCTCCATCCCCTGGGCATTGGCTCTCTTCAGTGTCTGGGATAACTTACATATTAATCATAGCATCTCCTAGTGGGCATCTGACCTCCAGCCATTGTGCTCCCCAAATTCGACCTGTGAACTTCAGCAGAAAGGACATCTGCTGTGGGGGGATACCTCCTTGGAGATTTTCCCTCATTAAACAAAAGAAAACCTCTTAAATGGACATTTGGGTAAGACTCTATGCAGTAGCCTTAGCAAAACCAAACGTGCCTCGAGCAGTCTACACTGCCTTCTTGCCTAGGTGTCTGTACAGATACAGAAGAGTTGACTTAAGTGTGAAAATTTACTTACTCAAAAGAAAAGTCATCAAGTCTAAAAAGAAACAAAAATACTATTTAATATGACAGGCACATACTAACTTAAATCATGTTTAAGGACAATATCGGTGTTCCTGCGCTATTTTCAGAGACACCCTCCACTCATTCATTCCACACACATTATTTAAGCACCTGACACTTCCTCAGGCACTCAAGCAAAGCTCTCTTCAAACTCCTGAGATAAGACTCATAGATTACGTCCTCTTGCTCAAAGGAGCCAAGGACGAGGAAGAAGGGGTGAAAGGCAGATCTCAGCTGTAAGGCTGCTCTTTCCCCTTGCTGTGGAATACTGAGGTGCTGGAGACTTCCCCTTTGCAATTCAGGGGAAGAGAAAGCCCAAAACCTATTGTGTGCCAGCTAGCATCAGACCTTCTATTTCCGTCCCTTTTTCCAGGGAGAACAGCAGTGGCCCCTCGCTGTTCCAGCCCATGGACTGACCGCACCTGTCCCGGGGAGACGAGCCCCAAGGCCTTACTGGTAGTCGGTGGAGCTGCCTTTCCGTTTGCGGTTGCAATCCACGCCGCTGGGGCCAAGGGAGCTGGAGAGCAGGTCGGTGGGGCCCGGGGACATGAAATCACTGATTGTGGATGAAATGTCCATTCTCTGGTCCGCCATTGGCCGCCCTGCAATTGTTACAAGGGAACACAGAGTAGAATTTATTGCCATGTGTGCTTCCAGAAGATCAAGAGGGGCCGGCTCACAGTGGACCAGAGCAGGCACACGGCAGGCAGGACCGACGAGCATCAGACTCAGTTAAGAGTTTGTGTAGATGAGCCGGGCCCACCACTCGCTTTCCTGGTGAAGACACAAAGGCCCAGAGAAGCTGCCTGGCTACTCCTAGGTCCCTGTGCCAGGTGGGGAGAATTAAACCAGTATCACTGGGCTCTGGGAGTTCCAGTCCAGTGCTGTTCCCACCGAGGGGACCAAGTGACCCAGATGTCCTCTGACAGCCTTATTTTCTTCTAGTCAATAAACATATGATCAAAGAAACAGAGACGATATACTTGTTATCACGTTAGTACTTTGTGAAAATTGTAGGAAGGCAGAAAATATCCTCCCTATCATAGCAGGTCCAGTTTGGGCATCCCTTTATCTGCGGCCTGGGTGAGCCTGTCCCGTCTTCCCCTCCTGTCCTTTTGTGCCAGGATCCCTTGCAAAGTCAACCCATGAACACGTGCGAAAAATCGAGACCTTGTATTCCAAAAGCATGAAGAGAGCTGGCCCCCAACAAGAGGCCAAGAAATACCTGGCAAGGGACTCCAACTCCAAAGCCAGCTGAAAAGGTCCGGGCACTATCCGTGATCAGGGGCTGAGCTCCGTGATGTGTCAGAGCTGTCACTCCCACCCTCTGGGCCCAAGTGCCCTCATCTGCAGAACAAGAGGGTAACTGTCAGTTACTGTCATCCACTATCACAATTATACCCATGGGTTAGGGCACCCTCCTCTCCTGGACAGGTGTGTGTGCTCACTGGAGAGAAAGAGGGAGAGAAGGAAAGTGAGAAAGCACCTCTCGTGGGAGACGTTCACACCATCTGTCCCTCTTTTCAGGACTTTGGGCATGCATGCACATGCACCAGGTGTGTTTCTCAAGTTGCTAGGGCCAGGACTTGAACTGGGCAGTCAGTCGTGTGGGATCCGGCTGCCTTAACCACTAGGCTATAGGCTGTTACAAGCACTGCTGGAGTGAACACCTCTGTGCATCGATTTCTGTGCATTGTAGCTATTGAGTTGTTGGAAAAGTCACAGTGCATTTCTGCATAGACAAATACCCCTATCGCGGTAGGTCCTACCTGGGAGTCAGAGGCGGGTATAGTGGTTATGTCACTGGACTCCCACATGGCTGACCACAGCTTGTGTCCTGGACCCAATGACTGGAAACTCACACCAGGTGTGTGTGCATATATGCCCAAGATCCCAGAAGAAGGGATTATGGCAGGCCCATAGCCCTTGGGGGGTGATTTCTCACTTTCCCTCTCAGTGTCTCTGTCTCTCTCTTTCTCTGGTGAGCACAAGTACCCTAAGGCAACAACCTAAAAAGAAAGAAAGAAGAAGAAGAAAAAGCACATTATAACTTTTTCAGCAACCCTATCTTATCTCTTAGAATCAATTTCTAAAGGTGGGACTGACAGGTCCAAGAGGAATACCCTGCAACACCATGCTCCAGAAAAATTCCAGTAATTCTCCTCCCGACCAGAGTTCCTGCCAGCCTGAAGGGGCTGGAGGGGACCCTCGCTCCCCGTATGTGACTGCCGATGTGCTCCTACGTATCTAGGCATCTCCCTGTCTATCCCCTTGTAGCTGCTCATGTCCTGTTCTTCCGCCATGAAGGCCTCCCACCCCATGTCTACCTGTGTACTCCAACATGGTGGAGAAAACATACCCTCAGAGGCCCGTGGTGCTGCCTATCGGCCTTCACTCCTTTGCCACCGCCCACCCCCCCAATCTGCCATCATGGACTTCACGCTTTCCCCTTTCTCCTCAAGCTTCCAATGTCTCCCCAGTCCTCCCTCTCGACTGACAAGTTTTCTTCTTCCTCAGCTGAAAAAGAGCCAGCACCCACATCCACCAGCCTACCTAGACGCTCCTGCTTAGGAAGCCCACCCCCCAACTCGTGCTGGACCCCGACTCTCTCATTTATTCAAGACCGTCATCATTCCAGACCCCTCCTACCCCAACCCAATCCTGCATCTTCCACTTTCCCCACACTACCGGATCACTCCCATTTTAATAAAAATAAGAGTTCCGTAATTCCTATTTGGGAAAAAAAATAATGAAAGAGCTTTTTTGAAGACTGCCCTCCTCTAGCTATTGTCCTGTGTCTGTCTCCCGTCCTTCTCCTCCTCTAGCTATTGTCCTGTGTCTCTGTCTCCCGTTCTTCTCCTCCTCTAGCTATTGTCCTGTGTCTCTGTCTCCCGTTCTTCTCCTCCTCTAGCTATTGTCCTGTGTCTCTGTCTCCCGTTCTTCTCCTCCTCTAGCTATTGTCCTGTGTCTCTGTCTCCCGTTCTTCTCCTCCTCTAGCTATTGTCCTGTGTCTCTGTCTCCCGTTCTTCTCCTCCTCTAGCTATTGTCCTGTGTCTCTGTCTCCCGTTCTTCTCCTCCTCTAGCTATTGTCCTGTGTCTCTGTCTCCCGTTCTTCTCCTCCTCTAGCTATTGTCCTGTGTCTCTGTCTCCCGTTCTTCTCCTCCTCTAGCTATTGTCCTGTGTCTCTGTCTCCCGTTCTTCTCCTCCTCTAGCTATTGTCCTGTGTCTCTGTCTCCCGTTCTTCTCCTCCTCTAGCTATTGTCCTGTGTCTCTGTCTCCCGTTCTTCTCCTCCTCTAGCTATTGTCCTGTGTCTCTGTCTCCCGTTCTTCTCCTCCTCTAGCTATTGTCCTATGTCTCTGTCTCTCGTCCTCTTCCTCTAGCTATTGTCCTGTGTCTCTGTCTCCTGTCCTCTTCCTCCTCTAGCTATTGTCCTGTGTCTCTGTCTCCCGTCCTCTTCCTCTAGCTATTGTCCTGTGTCTCTGTCTCCTGTCCTCTTCCTCCTCTAGCTATTGTCCTGTGTCTCTGTCTCCCGTTCTTCTCCTCCTCTAACTATTGTCCTGTGTCTCTGTCTCCCGTCCTCTTCCTCTAGCTATTGTCCTGTGTCTCTGTCTCCTGTCCTCTTCCTCCTCTAGCTATTGTCCTGTGTCTCTGTCTCCCGTCCTCTTCCTCCTCTAGCTCTTGTCCTGTGTCTCTGTCTCCCGTCCTCTTCCTCTAGCTATTGTCCTGTGTCTCTGTCTCCCGTCCTTCTCCTCTTGTCCTCTGTAACCCAATGCACATCAGGTTTCTGTCCTTCACTCCAGTCCAACAGCCTTTGGGTTCATCAGTGACTTCCCCACTGTCGGGTCCAATGGCCAGTTCTTCATTCCTTCCCTTCTTGATCCATCAGCAGCGCCCAGCAGAGGGGATCACTCTCTCCTCATCCTCTTGGCTTTCACGTGCCCCTTTCTCACAGTCCTCCATCTGTGTCATGGTCACTCTCCCTTGGTCTCTGTCACTCAACTCCCTCACCTCTAAATGAGGGTCCTAGGAACATGGCGAGACCTCCTTTGTCTCTACACTGACTCGCCAAGAGCTTCAAATACGACCAACGACATGATAGCACTCAGAGGCGTATCTCCAGCTAGAGGTCACCCACACTCCAGAGTCACGTAACCAGCTGCTCCCCTGACTTCTCCACGTGAACAGGAAGAGACCCAGATGGCAACACCCATGAGCCCGATTCCCCTCACGCCAAGGCTTTCCTAGTCTTTCCTATGTCGGTGATTCTCATGTCAGTAAGAAATCCTTCAATCCCAGTTATTCAGTCCCCAAACCCAGAAGTCACCCTAACTCCCTTTCTTTTCTGTTCTTTTTCTTAGGTTTTGCCATAGGATATGTGCGCTCACCCAAGAGAGACACAGACAGAGAGAGGGAAAGTGAGACCCCCCCCCCCAGCAGGGATGGCCACACCACAATCTCTTCTCCATTCTCCTCTCAGGATTTTGGGCATGCACACACTCGTGCCCAGCATGATTTTCAAGTCACCAGGTCCGAGCCTAGATCTGTGGTTGTCCAGGTGGGGATCCAGGGCCTTCACCACCACATCACCTGCCACCCACTCCCTTCTTTCACGACCTGCATCTGATCTGTCTACAGATCCTGTCAGTCCCACCTCCGAAGAGCAGAATTCAACCATTTCTTCCTTTTTTCTTCTATTTCCCCTTAAATACTACTTCTCAGTGAAGCTTGCCCGAAGGCGTTGTGTAATACGAACCCAGGCAACCCTTGCGCCCAGCGTGAGTTTAAGCCACCAGGTCCGGGACGCGAACCGCGGTCGACTACGTAGGAGTCCAGCAACATAGCCATTACGCTAACTGCTGGTTCCCCCTAATATACTTTTTTACTGATACTTTTATCATTTCTTTTTTGGTTTTCATTTAGTATTTTAATCCATTTGGAAGTGATTTTGGTACACTCGCTCAGGTTAGGGTTTTCCTATTTCTAATAGAAAGACAGTTTCCCAGCATCATTTCCTAACCTGTTCATCCTGTTACCGACCATCTGAAATGCCAAGTTCAGGTCTATTTATTTCTGGACTTTTTCCTCTGTTCCTCTGATCTACTCGTTTCCATGCTAGCACCACACCGTGGTCATGATTGTGGCCTGTGAAGACAGTTTAATATCCAGTAGTCTAAATCTTTTCCTCTTACCTGTTTATTCTCAGAAATTTCCCAGCTACTCTCTTGGATTTATCCTTCAGGAATTATTTAATAATTCTTTAAGCACAACGCGACCCTGCTGAGTGACTGCTGTAGTCGTTATAATCATTATTAACATTCAGAGAAGTGGGGCCATGAAGGAGTACAGAGCCCTGCCCTCCAGATCTGGTGACTTATAGAGACCTGGCCCCCTTGGGCCGGGCCACGTGACAGATCAACAGCCGTCAGGGACTTGGGGTAGGGGGATTTATTACCTGAAGTTACAGTTCTTAAAGCCCAGATCCAGCTTGGGAGGGGCAAGGGGCCGCTGGGCTTGTCGGTCACCTCAAAGCAATTTTCATGTTTAGGAACTTCCTTTCAGGTGGTCAGCTTCTTCCAACAACCTACAATGGGGACCACAGGAAAAGAAAACCCAGACAAGTCATTCTGGGGCAAACATATTTTAAATCTCCTGTTAGCTAAGGGGGCTGGTGGAGCTGGCTGGTGACTCTGATCACGGGGAGGAACACGGCACCGGCTCCATGCCCCGTTTCAATCCATCATGGCTACGCCCTCGCTGCACTCACCACCCCTACCCACCAGCCACCCCACAGCGCTCCTGCGAAAGTGAAGCCGAATGAAGGCAATGGGGCAGGAAATGCCTGCTCTGAAAAGAGCGTCTTCAAAGTTATTAAAAACGGATCCTTGGGCCAGCCCAGGGCCTGGTGGCTAAGGTGGCTGGATCCCACATAGCCAACTGTGCGGTTTGAGTCCTGGGCCTGGCAGCTTGAAAAACACACCAGGCATTGCGTGCCTGCCCAAAGTCCCGAGAGGATGGAGAGCTGGAAGAAAAGGAATCCTGGCATGACCACACCCCATGGGAGGTGCTTTCTCACTTTCCCTGTCTCTGTCTCTCTCTGGAGAGTGCATGAGTCCTCTGGCAAAATGTTCTTAAAAAATAGATTCTTGGACGTGGAGCAATGATTCCTGATGCAAAAGCTCTGGCGTCTCCCATTGCACAGGCTCATTCGCGCCGTCTGTGGGCAGGTGCCCGTGTCCTGATCATTGTGAAGGTTCAGGTGGACATCTGGGAACAGAACTGTGTCTGTCCTTTCCGGAATCCCTCTCTGTGGTCTGCCTCCCCATCTGCCTCTGCTAACCCCAGTCTGGGCACATGCAAATAATGTGACCAAAGGTTTTGGCCTTCTAGCCCCTGAGCCTCCATTGGAAAAGAGGCTGCAGACGGATGCAAAATCCCCGGGTTTTAATATACGTAATTCTGTCTAAATCTGATTCCTCGTCCAGTCACACGCGCTCCTCCCAGCCCTGAAATTAGCAACCCAGAATCCACCCTGGGCTTCCTTTCTCTCTCCTTCCCACACCCCAAGCCCCCACACAGCCTTCTGGGGGATAGGCCCAGCCGTTCCCCCTTCTCCCTGTCACTGTGTCCAGGCAGCTGTGCTCTCCGGCCCCTCCCTCCCAAAAACAGGACACTCCCTTGCTTAGAACATGTCAACAGCTTCACGGCTTTGCCCCAAACCTTTTAGGCAAAAGTCAAAACTCTCCAGCAGGAAACACCAGGCCTTGCCTAGTCTCCATCCCAGCCCTCCTCACCAGCAGCCTGACATACTGAAATGCCCAGGGGCACCCTGCCCCTCCTGGACCCTCATCTTGGGCAGGTGTGGCACCCTCTGCCCCAGCCCCCTCCCACCCTGCCTCCCCCACAGCCTCCAGCCCCAGCAGCCACGCCTCCTTGACAGGCTCCCAGGACCCATCCCTGCCTCCCTGCAGGTCACACTCCCCGAACACACGACGAACAAGGCCATGCCCTCTCTCCTCGCCGCACTCCCCTGAACGTACGTGGAGGTCCTACTAAGTTCTGAGCACCAAAGTCCATATGAAATCTCTGGTTTTGGCCAGTTTGTACAAAAATTTACTTTATACAAATAATAACAAAAGCACTACCTTTCGCAAAGCAGAAAGCTGAAGGCTTAAAAGCTTAGCCGCGGCAAGGAAGCTGACCGGCTGTGACACTCGACATGGGTTTTTGGAAACTGTTTTCTTTCCGAACATCTTCTTTTCTAAGATATTCTTGGATGTAAGAACAAGAAATACAACAAGAAAGAAAGAAAAACCCACTTTCTGTGCTAACTACTTCCAGAAGGGATTTGAGGCAAGGGAGGGGCTCCGAGAACCCCCAGGTACCTGTCAGAGGGTTCCTTGCTGAGGACCGACTTAGGCCTGTCCTGCTGCAGCCATCCAGGTGGCTCTTGGGAGAGACCGGCCAGTGGTCCTGGGGCCAGCACCAAATGTGTGCCCCCTCTGGAGCTGGAGAGTCCCAAGGTAGCAGGGAGGCCTGCCGGGTGGCCAGGAGTCGGCTCGGGACTCGTGCGCGGTCTGCTGGGGAAACGCGAGGGCGCCCTGCCTGCCACCTCGGCCCCATGCTGCAAAGGGAATCGCAGGCCCTCCTCCCATAAAGGGGCTGGGGTGCCAGCAGGGGAGTCACGGTCCAGTTGCCCCTGCAGAGAGGGGCTCGGCCTACAAGGCGAGGTCGTCAACTAAAAGGAAGCAGCAAAGGAAGGCCAGGCTGTTCCTCCGAGCAGAGCAGGGCAAGGCAGAGCTCCGCCCTCCAGCAAGCCACGCCCACTGCAGGAAGGCCGGCACATGCGGGACCCCAATCAGACCCAGCGTCCTCCTCTCCCTCACTTGGGCTCCAGCCCAGAAGGCTACAAGAAACGAGAGAGGAGTGTGGCACCACTTAGACGGGGAGGTTTTTGCGGGGTGGCCATGCTGTCTGCTTGCCCATCTTCCTGGTCAGTGTGGAAAGTCCTGCAGCTCAGGACACCCCTCGGTCCCAGACGAACCGGGATGGCTGGCCACCTGCTGCCACTGCCGTGGACCTCATCTCCTGCTGACCGACAGAGGCGGGAAGAAGGATCCGAGAGAGGGCCAGCGGTGGTGTTTACACTGGACAGTGCCATCTTCATAGGGCCCCGTCCACTCACTGTGACCGGCAGCCCAGCTGTCCAGGTGAGGACCCAAACACGGAGGAGCTGAGCTTCCTTGCTCGCAGTGGCACAGATGGCAAGAAGGGATCGAGCCCGGTGTGTCTGGTTTCCCACATGGCAGCCAGTTCTGCCTCCAGAATACCACTTCAGGAGTTAAAGGTCAAGACCAAAACAAAACAAATACGAAAAGTGAGTATTTCTGAACAAGGAATGAGGGGAAATTACAAGAAGGCATTCTGGCCAGGAAAACGACAAGAACTGAGCAAATCAGTTTTCTCTGAGCTTCCTGTCAGTCAGGGCAAAGAGGAAAAACTCAGTCCCATTGTGTAAGATCAAGAAGTGTATCGGTTAGTTCAGCACAGATCTGAGCCAGCAGAAGTATGTCAGAAGTTCTCTCTATAGGATTTGAGTAATGCTGTGCTGAGCGGCTCTGAGAGACAGGCTTTCTAAGAAACAGAGCAAAGCTTCCCCCTTAGAAATTGGGATCCTCTGGGCCAACTGGTAGCATGGTAGTTAATGGCTGGATCCTACATGGCCAACTGTACAGTTCAAGTCTTCGACCCGGCAGTTAGAAAAGCATGCCAGGGACTAGCAGTTGGCATAATGGCTATATCACTGGACTCCCATATAGTAGACCACGGTTTGAGTCCCAGACCCAGTGGTTTAAACTCACCCCGGGCACGTGTGCGTGTATGTCTAAGATCCTGAGAGGAGAATGGAGGAGAAGGGATTGTGGTGTGGCCAACCCCCCTGGGGGTGATTTGCGATT